CGAACGATCGACTATTTGGCGACATCAAACGTTGAATTACTGGGTCACCCGCCGTATAGCCCCGACCTCGCGCCTTGTGATTTTTATTTATTTCCAAAAATTAAAGAAAAACTTAAAGGAAAGCGGTTTATGAATGCTGAAGAAGCGGTGGCTGCGTATCGCGATGCCATTGAAGAGACCCCTAAGGACGAGTGGGCAAAGTGCTTTTCCCAGTGGTTCCATCGCATGCAGCGGTGTATTGACGTGAATGGACAATATTTTGAAAAGATATAATAAAACTAATAACTGGCTAATGTAATCAGTTTTTGATTTTCTAAGAACTTTCAGTTTGACCCTCGTAGTATATATTCTTTTCTTATATTTATATCCATAAATGAAACAACTCTTAAGCGGTTTTATCGCATTTGTATTTAGATTAAGGGTCTGAAACGTTATTAAAAAAACAAACGCGATCAAATCGTTATTTCATCAAAAGTTATTTCATTTAACTATTGTATAGTTTTCGTTAAAACGCGAACTGTTTTATCAACCGACAGACCATTGAATATTTTTTAGATAACTCTTCTGAACCATTTCTTAAAAAACTGCCAACATCTTTGTATAGTGAAGTTAAAATCTGCAAAGGATGTGAGACGTCTGAAAAATTATTTTTCATAAAATATACACGATAAAACCATTCAATGTTGCTAAATAAAAATATTATATAAATAAATAGAAATATAAAAATGTGCTACAGTTATGTATCTAAATTGAAATTGACTATTCTACTTTTTTTTTCTAAGATATAAACAATATGAAGACATTGTGAATATAAGTGGTACAAAGAATTGTGAATTTTATTTAAACAATTTATTTTTAAATAATGGAAAACGGTACTTTAATTTCAACGACATGTTTTATTGATCACATGGATTGTAAAAGTTGAAATCTAAACAAAATAAACCGTATCGTCACAATAATCTACGTTGGCTACCACATTTATTCAAGAATTTATTTATCAATGAATTTAATTGCAGTCCGAAGCGTAATACTGCATTATTTCGGACCACGGAGTCAATACTTACGCCATAGTGTTAGATACATTCGGAAACTCGTCAGGACTTTTATAATTATTTATTTAATTTAGAGGTGCATTATTAAGATTGTGGCAAGGTAAGGTATGTTACAATTGTCATCTATCTTATTTTGCAACAAAATATAAAATGGCTTGGCATGATGTATATTTACATTAAATTATTAAACTTCGTGTAAACTAACATATGTAGGTTCAACGATCCAAAAGATAAAGTGTATTTAGGTATTCATGGTTCTGGTTCATGAACCAAATAGTAACGGAACCCTAATATAGTCATCATATCTATCTGTTCATCTGTATGTAACAGTCACGACATCCAAAACTATTAGGACTACAACTGAAAAGCTGGTAAACCTATTCCGTGAACCCCGTTAGAATTTTTATTAATATATTTTGTTTTCGTTAAACCTAAAGAGGTTCCTAAAGCTGTAATTTTCTCAAAAATGGTATGATAAATATATACTTCCAAAGTGGTAGAATTTGTGTCCATCCTTCTCTAACTTATAGAATATTAAAGTGAAAAAAGTTTTTAAAAAATTACACTGTTAATTTTCATGTATTTACATCTAAAATTTGAAGAGGTGTATTATACGTAGGGATGCTAACAGTTGTCGTCCTGGCATTCCTTGCTAGTTACCAGCAAGCAATCTACACGGTCTACGCGAGAGGGCAATACGGATTCCTACGTGGTATCGTTGCATCCTTAAGCTCGTCATGTCATCAGCTGTCAGAAAAGTTGGATAAACTTGGCATTTCATTTTAAGTTTGAAATAATAATTATTAATAGCTGTTAATTTTTGTTGTTGTATGTAGAGTTCTGAGTAAATCCATGTATAAAAATTGGTAACCCAATAATGGAGGAATTTATTTACATTGTGTAATAGTCACCTTAGTAAAATTTTGTGCTTTTTTTATGGGGTAGAGGGCAGACGAACAGATGGTAAGTGATTACTGTCGCTCATGGACACCTGCAACACCAGAGAGGCTACAAGCGCGCTGCCGGCCTTTGAGGGACGAATATGCTCTACGCTTGAAAGTTTGAAGGTCGTATCGGTCCGGAAATACCGCTGGCGACAAACTGTTTCAGAGTTTGACTGTGCGAGGTACGAAACTTCTAGAAAAACGCACAGTTGAGGACTTCCAACCATCCAAATGATGGGCGTGGATTTCTTGTCGCGTGGAACGATGGCGGAAAGTAGTGGCATCAATGAGTCCGAACAATTCCTTTGAGCATTCCCCGTAATAGATGCGATAGAAGATGCACAGTGAAGCAACATCTCTACGCAGGGCCAGTGGATCAAGCCAACTTGAAGTGTCCCGGCAATCAACGATTCGAGTCGCTCTCCGCTGAATGCGGTCTAGAGGGAGAAGCTGGTATTGAGGTGCCACTGCCCAAAGATGAGAACAGTACTCCATATGGGGCCGAACTTGCACATTGTAAAGCTGAAGACGATGTGCTGGAGTGCAATACTGGCTCGATCTATAAAGCACACCAAGCTTCTTAGATGCTAATTTAGCCTTACCCTCTAAGTGACCACGAAACTGGACCTCGCTCGATATGTCGACACCAAGAATCTCAATATTGGCTGAGGCAGTTAGGGGAATGCTTTGGGAAGGCAGTTAGGGGAAGGATGTGCCAACTCCCGCGACAATACTGCATTTGCCCAGGCTTGGTATGATTCCCGCTTTCGACGAAAAGCCTTTCTCGAGTACTGACCAAATCAAGGTTGGAATCTGCCACCAATAGGGACAACCGAGGATGGAATGAAATTTTCCATACCCTGAAGCACCACATCAGTAACAGACTCAGCGGCGTTGTTGGGATCATCCGGCGTAAAGCAGAGCAAGCATTTTGTGGTAGTTAAAAAATAACTATTTTATGAAAGTTTCTTTTCCATCTTATTTTTTATTAGTATTTTTTCCACCGTAACGAGTGATTGTGTTATTTCTAGAGTAATAATAAAGAGCGTAATTGGATTTTAAATGTATATAAAGTATATGCTTACCAAAACTTTCAAAAATATAATTAAAACATAAATATTGAAGGATTGCAGTTAATGTTCAACGCTTTCATTTGACAGTATCTAATAGCTTTCAAAGGTATTTGTAACCATTTAACTTGCTTAGACAATTCCGATTTACGTCAAATGAAAGTTGTCGTTCGTTCAATTTCTTAAAAAAAATGTCGTGATCGCAATTGCTTTGACTTGTCAAATAGTTGTAGCGTGAAGTTCGCGAATGTCTTTCAAATGACAAAATCAAAGTGATTTGTGAAATATTTTTTATATTCATTTTTTGTTTGTTACAGTTTTTCTTTACCCTTTTCTTTATTACCGTATAAAAAAATCAAGTTCTTAAGCTTAGTCAGCCTTTCATTAATTCGCCCAAGCATCGAACCCGTCGCAACCTTAATCATGCGTGCAGTTCTATTTTAAAACGTTCATACCTTGAAATCGTCTATGAAAACACATAAATTGGTAAACTCGCAAATCAATTTCTTTCCATGATTTACGAAATAAGACAAGAAAGAAGTCATTTTTATTCACAATTCGCAATACAAATTTAAAAAAGATTAAGTCAAACTTTGGGACACAACAATCATTTATAGTTTACTTAAATATTTTCCTTTTTTTAGTTCTTTACATATGTGCACATATTAGGTCGGGGAAAGACTTTTCGCATATAGTATGCATAAACTTGTCTTTCTGGCTATATCATTTTTATCTAGTCTTAGAAATTTGATACATTTTAAAATTTTATTGGAAAAGAGGTAAAAATACAACGCTAGTCGCAAAATAAAGTTTGTGCCGTTTATGGTCCTAGTGCAGTTTCTGTGAGAGTAGCACCAAGTAGCACAAATTTAGTTTAAGCGTTTTCAGCCTGGAAATTTTAATGTCAAAAATGCACGTTGTTTCGGTCTGTCTGTTACGGATAAAATGTAAAATCTGTAGTTAAGACGTAGAACGGAGAAAAACTGGGGATTGACCACAAAATAGTTTTGGCATATTTGAAAAACGCTGGGTACACAAAAAAGTTGGATAATTGAGTACCTCACGAGCTTACTGAAGGACCCCGTGTACTCATTTGTGATTCTTTATTACGGCGTAATGAAATCGAATAATTTTTGAAGAATATACTGGTGAATGATAACTGGTGATGAAAAGTGGATCACGTACGATAAGAAAGGGCGAAAAAGGTTGTTTAGGCTTCACAGACTGTGGAGAAACCCGGTGCTGTGTGTATGGTGAGATTGGAAGGGCATTATTCATTATGAACTGTTACTTCAATTCTGAACTCTACTACGAGCAACTGATGAGATTAAAGCAAGAAGTTGAGAGAAAGCGGCCCGAATTTATCAACAGAAGGGGTGTGGTTTTTCATTATATAGCTTTGACATATTTTGCCACTCAGCAAACAAATTAAAAGTTTGGCTGGGAGGTGTTAATGCATCGGCCGTATAGTCCTGACCTTGCACCTTCAGATTTCCACCTGTTTCAGTCTCTTCAGAACTCTTTAGACAGTGTCAGGTTAACATCACGCGAGGATTGCTAAAACCATTTGTCTCGGTTTTTTAACCAGATGTCCTAAAATTTCTATAGCAATGGGATATGTCCCTATCTATAATGACATGTTTTATGTTAATGATAAAGAGCTGGTAAGTTTATTTCGCTTGATCTTTTTGTCAGCTGAAAGACGTCCTGAAGTGGTAGCGGAAATTTTTTTTTTGACGATTCTAATGTGCTTGAAATAAGCTTACTTCTTCCCGTCCCGTCCCGTCCCGTCCCGTCTCGTCCAGTGATATTTGGGCTAGCAATAGGTTTTAACATTAATAATTTCTACGGAACCTATGACCATACGCGGCTCACATTTTTTTATATTTTTAATTATACGTCATTGTCATATCATAAAATGTCTAGATAAACGTCTGTTTTAATCGTTCGTAATCAACAATTTTTTTTTCTAGAGATGATAAAAATGCACTCAAATATAGAATTTAGACATTTCTAAATAAATCGAGGGATTGACATCTTTTCGTGACTATTTATTTAGATAACCATAGACATACAAGTTAGTCAGTCAGTCAGTCGGTAGTTTAACAATGAACGAAACAAATGAAAACATTCATCAATATCCATTAGATATAAAAGTTTTGAATCCAGATGAAACGGCCGAGGTATTTAAATATTTCTCTGAATGTAAGTTATATGTATTTAATAGACATAAGTAAATATGCTCGGTATGTGCGGGTAATTGAATAATAAATCAGTTTTTAATATCTAATCTCGACTGTGTAGTATCCTTTTATGGTGACTTTGAAAAAAAGTGTACTCTCATAAGTGCTTATTTATGGCATCAAATATCGCGGATTTAGAGTTACTCGTAAAATAAGTAGGTACAGTAAAATAAAGGCTACTTGTGTATTGGATCCTACGGGCAGAGTGTGTGTCATTGATAATAACAGGTAAAAAGTTTTTTAAAACTGAACTAAAAGGACTGCGCAGTCAAATATCTACGTTAAATTGGTGTAATTATAAGGTTAAAAATACGAGTTGACTTGGAGCCAATATAAAATAACATTATTATAATATAACATAGCATTTGTATAATATAATTGATCTCTGAATTAGAATAACTCGTTAATACGGGCTTGCTACCATGTGCCATATTTTTTTCTAGTTCCCGATACTAACAGTGGTATCGAATGTAAAGGACTAATGGCTAGTTTACAATAACTAGTTGATAAGTAATTAATTTTAAGTGATTAGTACGTGTACACACATTAATTTCTTAGTGCGTGAGTCCAACTCGCATTTAGTTGGTTTTAAAAATACTTGGGAAAAATACTTGAAAAAAAACCGGCGTAGCTCAGTTGGAAGAACATTCGCCTGATCAGCAAGGGGTCGTCAATTCGAGTCTGGCCTGGTAGTCGGTTAAAATAACACAAACAGTTACCTTTACTATTTATGCGTTACATACTTAAAAGACAAGGTTTACTAAATGTACCTCCCTTGTACAAGTTTGGTTTCAGTCATTTGCTAATATTTATGCAAAGCAAATTCATAAATTCCATTTATATTATTTTTCAGCGCTTCAAGATGGGTTTGTGCGTATCGGCCCCAAGGGATACTTTTTCACGACCGGGATTAATGAAGTGGCACCCTCAATCTACAATATGGAACTTAAACCAGATGATACTTGGGTGATATCATTTCCAAAATCAGGTACCTATGCTATTATGATTTTCATTAATATTTAGAAGAGAATTAAGCCATACTGTCACTATTGCTTATGATACAAATTAATCATCACTACCAGCCTATAACTGTTCCCAATGCTGAGGCTCGTCATCCCTATGCACGGAATCGAATCGAGCGGAATAGGATCAATGGATGGATGGCCCAGTGCGGATTGGTGGGTGTTAATGTCTACAGATGCAGCCGGGTCTAACTGCTTCACTTGCCTTCCGAAGCACGGAGGTATTCAAAATAAAAAAAAAAACTTTTTCATCCATCCTATGACCGCCCCTTATAGAAGTTGCTCAACTTCCGCATCGTATACCGAAGCCACAACCACTGTGCAATCGAGCTCCTCAAAAAACTCATTCCCTTGATCACTTTATTTATCGCACCGAGACGATAATGTCTTGAAAAATCCACAGGCACGACATGGATGCAGGAGTTGGTGTGGTTGGTAGCGAACGACTTCGATTATGCTACAGCGGAAGCTGTTCCACTTGTGGCAAGATTTAATTTTATAGAGTAAGGTGTTCTTTGTTCACATAAGACTTCATTATTTGCGAAGGTTATTGTATCGCATAAGTATAGTGTAGTAGCGAAAAAGCGAATTAGAACCATGAAAAAAACGTTATCTATAATCTAGACAGAGAACGAATCAAAAGTAAAAAAATCAAGAATGTTTATTCATCAGCTTAGTTTACAATTTACAATATATCATGAAGTCTCCTTTTAAGTATAAAGTTACACCTAATTTTATTGTTATATAAAACGGGGCGAAAAACATTGGAGAAAACCAAACATATCAAACTCTCAAAACAGCTGCAGAGTAATAAAGCTTTAAGCCCATTGTTTCAAGTTTGATATCAGACTAGTACCTTGATATTGCCTGATTGGTAATACCTGTATTTGCTCTTGGTAAATCAACGGTAGGTTTATTATGTGCTCTAATAACAACATTTTGTATATACTTAAGATATTATTCATTTAACCGCAGCGTTGAGCGAGATGTGATTTGGGTCTTGATCATCAGCGCTTTTGACGTCTCCACTGCAGGAGCTTTGGTCTTCCTTATGGATGGTTAAGGAGGACGAGCCATGAACCTCCACGCTGGCCCAATACAGGTTAGAGGGTATTAACGACTGCAAATGCAACCGGGGCCAACGTCTTTATGTGCCTTCCGAATACGTAGTAGTCGAGATAATAATTTAATTTAGTCACCAATCCCATGACCGATCTTTGCGAAACGATCAACGATCGCGGGCCGCGGCGCTTATCCACTACGCCACTGGGCTACTCAGAGAACAACGAGTGCGATTGGAAGGATTTGGGTCTAAGCGCAATGCAATATTAGTCTTTCAATTACTGATATCAAATTTAAAAACGTTCACAGAGGATCGATGTTTAGTAGCAAGAAATCATTGAGATATTATTCTGATGAGACACGGGAACAGTTAGCGGCACTATTCAAACCGCCTGACCATATTGCAAAATTGCCTCGGTTCATCAAGTCACACCTGCCGCTCTCGTTACTGCCACCCACGCTCCTCGATACGTGCAAGGTGGTGCACATAGCGCGTGACCCTAGAGACATTGCGGTATCTTATTACCACCATGACAAACGGTTAAAGCTAATGGGTTATACCGGTGACTTAAAGCAATATTGGAATATGTTGATCAAGAATTTGGGTAGGTACCTCAATTTTTATTTAAAATTACATCATATTTCATTAAATTTTTCAAATAAACGACTTACCAAGCATATACTCGTACAACTGCAATTCTACATGTCATGTAGCTTTTGGTTGTCATATAATAAACATATAAAAGGTATTAAGAAGATAACTCGAGCACACATTTTTTATATGATAGAAATAAATCCATAACTGTGTAGGTATATTCTATGAAATAGTATTAAAGAACATACGTTTACGTCAGTCACTAGATGACAATTATTGAATAATACTGCAATATCCATCTAAACTTCAACAAGAAAGTAATTATTAACAATATTTAAATAACACTAGTTGTTAATTTTTCAGTTCTTTTTTCTCCTTTATTCGATAACGTGAAAGAATCATGGGAGAAAAGAAATCATCCGAATATGTTATTTCTGTTTTATGAGGACGCTTTGAAGGTATGTATGATGAACAGATTGGCACTCCTTAGCCATATTTGTGTATGCATAAACAGGTTGGCTCTCTTCCTTAGCCATTTTTGTGATTTTGTCAAATTTGATTTCTAAAAATGTGAAGAAGATAATATGCCATTTTCAATAGATATGAAATATAATAAATATAAATATGAAACAAACATCATATACATTGCTCAGAAACCAAGATGAGTAGTTAAAACCGCCGTATTATGGAGTATCTGAGACAACGAAGGTACCATAACACCCAGACCCAAGACAATATAGAAAAGTTCATTTTCTACATTGACACGACCGGGAATCAAACGAAAAAAAAATTGTAATAATCGAACAATATATTTTTCGTTAATTTTTTATTTACTAAATAAAGTATAATTTAAATGTACAAAAACAATATTTTTTTATGTTGTGTGCTTTATCTTTGTGAATATTGTTAAATACGTGTTCAGAAAAGTTGGGACTTTTTATTAAGGTCTTTAAATTCCAAGAGTGACATCCAAATCTCAAGACATTGTATGTAACGTGAACGTACTTACACCCTGTTATTTACAGTATAAAAAAATGAAAAGCAATTACATCCTTTTTGAGGTCTGTTCTTTTTGAGTAGCTCGGTGGCGTAGTGGATAAGGGCCGCGGCCCGCGATCGTAATCGTTAAGCAACTTTCGCAAGGGTCGGTCACGGGATGGGTGACCAAAAATTATTATCTCGAGCTACTCCGTGCTTCGGAAGGCACGTTAAGCCGTTGGTCCCGGCTGCATTTGCAGTCGTTAATACCCTCCAATCCTATTGGGAGGGTCATGGCCCATCCTCCTTAACCATCCATAAGGAAGGCCTGAGCCCCTGCAGTGGGGACGTAAAAGGGCTGGTGTGGTGAGGTCTGTTAATGAATTGGTTATTTTTGCTGTTAAGGTGTTGTTGATGATGTATACAACCATGATGTTGAGATACGCCATTTTTTAGGTCTGAAAATTTTATATAGAGAAGGCGTCATTGAAAAATAAACGATTTCCGGCAATAAGAAATAGTTAGTTTATAGATAATTAGATTCAGATTTGAATCGTATAGTCATGGTTTAAAGATTTTGTTCACACGACGTTCTGTGAAAAGATATAAATTAATTTCTGTTTTATTTTCTCTGGTGTAAAGTTGTAATGTTTTTTGTCTCTGGTATAAAGTTGGAATTGCTGAGTTACGCCCTTTCTGTTTTCTGCCATCACTATTGTGAAGTTATTAAAGTTATGATAAAAATAAACTTAATTGTTTAGTATATGAATAAATTGAAACTATATCATACGAATCATTGTATAGAATATAGAAAGCATGATAATAACAATAAATTGAAGTAAGATAAGGACTAAACAATAATATATAAAGAAATGAGCAAGGACAAGGCAACAAAAATAACTTGTTACTGTGCGTTACTATTATTTTAAATGACAATCGTCTTCAGGTGCGCCATTTAGAAACGGTGGTATATTTACCTAATAATATTTATTTTGGTAAAAAATAGGTAGAAGTTAGTTTGTGTAAGTCTGTAGATAGTGCGTATGTTATATTTAACTTTCATAAAAGTAGCAAAATAAAGTAAATAGTGCCTTTGATAGGAGATTTAAAAAATAAATGTGGATATAAAATAGTTTACTTTTTATGTTTAAGGATTTGCCATCAACGGTTAAGCGAGTAGCTAAATTCTTAGGAAAAACGGTGACAGAGGAGCAGATGAGCCGTCTCTGTGATCATCTCGCCTTCGACAACTTCAAGAAAAACAAATCTGTTAATATGGAAATTTTCAAAAAATTAAATTTGAGCTGTAAAGATGTCTCGCCTTTTATAAGAAAAGGTGAAATCAAATCATTGATATTTAATATATTTTAATCTAATACATATTCTATACTTTTATTACAAAGAGGAAATATATTATTGGTTGTTTGTTTGCATTAAATAGGCTCCGAAACTACCAAAACGATTTTAAAAATTCTTTCACCAATGGGAAGCTACATCATACGAAGCCACGCGGGTGACATAGGCTTTAATTTATGCGGCATAAGTTGCAGGAAAACAGCTAGTCTAAATATATATACCTCAAAGGTGACTGACTGACATAATGAACTGTCAACGCACAGTCAAACCACTGGACGGATCGGGCAGAAATTTGGCATGCAGGTAGACGTTATGACGTAGGCGTCTGTTAAGAAAGGATTTTGATCAATTCTACCCCCAAGGGGATAAAATAGGGGGTGAAAGTTTGTATGAAACTCTTTAAACTGATTGAGACTTTGCATGTATAAAGCTACTATGACGTAGGCATCCCCTAAGAAAGGATTTTGATCAATTCCATCTCTAAGGGGATAAAATAGGGGATAAAACTTTATTTCAGGTATTTTACACGATATAATGAATAAATATTCGTTAGTAATGCTGCAAAAAGTAACTACCACGCGGACGAAGTCGCGGGCAAAAGCTAGTTAGAAAATAAATAAAAGTGAAGTTTACATTATTTGCTGTACTTTATTTCACAATCTTTTATTTAAATTACAATGATGCATGTGAGTAGGTATGAACATATGATCGTCAACCTGCAACTGAATTTTAAAGCTAGTGTTTTGCTCCTAAGGATTACCATCCTTAACCGATTAAGCTGAAATTTTAACAGATGCATGATTACCTAAGATATATTTTGGCGGATGGCATTATATGATGCTATGGTTATAGGCAAGGCTGGTGGATGGCGTGAGGACTTCGACGAGGAGATGACGCGGCAGGCGGAGCAGTGGATGGCAGACAACCTGCGTGATACCGATCTGAGATACCCTACTGTGTAAATGTGTAAAATAACTGTGTAAATGCTGTAATAAAATATATGACTTATATTTATGCATGTTTTATTGACGAGGTTATTATTTTTTTAATGTCTTTTTCTTCTTCGCTTGTTATTCCCGCTCGGTTGCGCTAGCTATACCAGTCCACTCTTTGATATCTCCCTCCTTCCAACGCTTATTTTCCCAAGAATTTTATCCATCATTATAAGTTAAAGAAGTTCATATCTCCGATGTCAAAGATTATCTACGAATGTTTATATGTAGATAGTTTACTGACATTTACATTTTTCAATGGATTTTGGTATTGTTTGAAAAATATTTTTAAATCTTGAAATTTTAACTATATTAAATGAAATAAAATAATACCTATGTACGCTATGGCTAAGAGTCTATTGTAACCATCGTAGCTAAAAATAAAGCTAATTTTCAACATGTAAAAACGAGGTACGACTATGATACGACTTTGGTTTTCTACACTTTTAGTAAATCACGGTTTTATCAATTACGAGAGAGCTAGTTAGAGAATTTTATTTTTCATATAAATGGAAATGTTGATCCCTAAACCATAGTATATAAATGGTCACTTTAATATACATACTATGGTTTAAGTGTATTTCTGAACCTAACTATAAAAGACATAAAAATATCGAAAATAATTAGGTATAACGAAACAAGTTGGTAAAAGATAATGTATAATGCAATATTAATTCTTTTTTGTTGGTCAGATTATGTTCTGTTATAATTATACTATAGGTATCTTTACAATTATAATGTACCTAATGATATTCTATCAAAGAACAAATGAGGCTTATTTTTAAGGTTAATAATATACTACTTAGAATAAGTAACACAAATTCTGTTCTCTGGTTCTATCATTATTTACATAGAAGTTAATTAACAAATAAAAGATATTCAAACAAAACGTTTCTAATACGAAACTATGAGTTCTAAAAACATTATTTGATAAAATAGGAATGTGGGTGTTATTGACCGAAATAGATAAAACTTCGTTACGAATGGTTTTACAAAATATGTAGATAGTAATTTCTAAAACATAGATGAAATGACATCTCTATCTTTCCGTGTTACTAATGAATAATTATAATGAACGGGAAAAGTGATAATTATCCGTTAGAAATGAAAGATTTGGATCAAGAAGAAAGTGATGAAGTGTTTAAATATTTTTCTGAATGTAAGATATTGTAAATTTCTTTAATATTCAATCGTCACATGGTATTTGATCTTTTTGGTTCAACAACAAATTTCATCTAGCCCACATTTTGAACCTGTACTAAAACTTGCGTTGAACTCGCTCTTAGCATAGCGTTGTCACAACAGAGTGCTACAATAAAGAGAAACCTACTTGAAAAGGTAATAAAGTGCTCTAACAGTCGTTTTTAACGTGTAGTTCAATGCTGATTCTATTACACAATATCACAGCAATATTTATATTTATATCTTTATTAAACCATTCAGTTGTACAAACGACGACGTTAAGCTCTAATAAATGGTATTTTTTTAATGTTTAGGCAAATATATGTATAGATAAGTGTTCACTCAGAGATCTCAATTAACTTTAATGGTTGTGAACAACCTTCGGTTGTCAAAGTCCAATTCGAGGGTGTACTTCAAAAAGGAAACAACTTTTGTACACAACAGGATTTATTGGATAGCTGACAAATTATTATTATTATTTTTTCGGCTCTCAACCTTAGGGGTTCGGAACCACCCTCCCAACGGGGGGAGGAGGCAGTGAATCCTTCATTGGATACCACACAGCCGGCTGTGTGGTTATTTAGACTCCTACTGACTAAACACCGCCTTGGACAGTTGGTTGCGTTCCCTGAAGGGGCAGCGAACCTTCGACCGGAGCGACCGCCCCCCCCGCAAAGGGGGGGGGGCGCAGATATCACTATTCACCTACATGAATTGTGACATCGAGATGTTAGCAGTTAACCCCAGGGGGCTCGGCACGTCGGATTGGAATAAAGCTGACTCCCTGAAGGGGAACGATCAGCTAGAGCGAACGGGAGACAAATTAAATACACCATAAACTTATATCATTCCAAAAGAAAACAGATGATAGCGAGATCTAAAAAGGTATAACGCGCTCTCTACGATTTTAATGCCAAATAAATTAATGTCGTTTTACAGGTTGTTTATCGACTTAATAAACTGTCACTAAACTTATTAGTCGCCCAAACCTGATACACCTAAATATTTGGGCATTGTCTAAGGGGAAAATGCGTTTCACTAATGATAAGGAGCCACCTACCGATTTTAAACAACGTCTAAAGTTAGGTCATATATCGTGTGGCGCCTAGAGCTGGGCATTTGCGTAATGAATGATACTACTCTTTGGCCACAAATGATGTGTCAAGGGATAAAATCAATTTTATAAGTTGGCATCAAAGAGTTTATATAATAGAATTAAGATATAAACAATGAGATTTTTTTGAATTTTCGGACTTTTTATAAATTGACAATGATGACACCGGTGCTAGTGTAAATACAAGGTCACGTGATTCATTTTCATTTTACATGTATAAATTAATTTATTTACTTGACATTGGCAGAATTGTGCGAAATGCGCAGATAAGCCATTAATTAAAAGAAGAAGAAGAAGACAAGGTCACGTATATTTTTTCTTGTTTTATTATCTCAAAATATATATTTTGGATTGTAAACGCAAATATACCATACATTAGAAAAATAAAAAGGACCTGTATCATGCAAAATCATAGACAAACGTTGCCTATCTAAGTTATGCCTTGTTCTAGGTTAGTGAAAACGGGCATTACAGTCCTACATTATTGGAGGAAGAGAATTGCGTTTGTCAGCTTATAATTATAAAGTCGTTTTTATTATTAATTTAAAGATGTAAAATGTGTATCGATTTTATGAGAAACAATTCGTATATTCTTGTTGACAATTATACATTTAATATTTCTTTTGATATTTTTTTAATTAAAAATGTGATAATTATAGGAACAGCCGTGTATAGTTTTCTATAAAAAGGGTTCTGTGAATTTTTCGTATTTTATTGCCCGAACAAACTTCCCTTAAAATTAAGTTTATTAATTGAAAGCGACATTCACGATATACATTTTTAAAAGTAGAACGTAAATTAGAGTTTAAAGTCGTCATTAAACCTTATCGGACGTTTCTGCAACTGGGCACAAGTCTTTTATTTAATTTTGATATATCAAACAAATAATAAAATAATTTATTTTTTTATTATTCTTGTATTTGATTAAAGAGAATAATCCTTTAAAAGAGATCTTAACATTTATGTTTCATTTTTGTAACAAAGGTCGTTTCAAATGATTTTTGTCATAATTCGTTTTATTATTGTTTTTCAGCTTTTCAAGATGGGTTCGTGCGTATTGGTCCAAAGGGATACTTTTACACAAGCGAGATGAAGGACATGGCACCCATAATCTACAATATGGTGGCCAGACCAGATGATACTTGGGTGGTATCGTTCCCAAAATCAGGTCTGCACTTATGTTTATCATATTGTAACATATTAAATCAAACAAAACACCATACTTTTGCTCAAAAGCAGGGGCATACCCCCATTAAAAGCGATGGCCCTCACCATAGAGGTGAAGCACGGGATCAACCTGAAGACCACTTCCTGCGCCGTTCGCCGTCTACGAACAAACACATGTTCCTGAATCGTCTACGTACGATTCAGGAATATATGAGTCATACCCCTCCCGACTGGGCGAGGACGTGCAAACAAATAGTACCTACCCAAAATTTACTGTAGTACATGTAATCTTGAAGCTTGAATTAATTCTGTAGTGTTCTTTAGACCAGTTTTATGGTCTAACTAATACGTTATAAATACCCTTAGTGTGCCTGGCTGTGCCGCTAACGCCAGCATGCGCAACTTTTTATAAATAAGTAGCTGCCCGCACGCGACTTCCCCCTGCGTTGTTCGTTGTTGTTATATCGTATGTTAATTCAGGTTTAGAATTATGCGTATATCAAATTTAGTTAAAATTCTACGTTACGTTTTAATTATCTATTTTCTTACTTTTCCAAAAAGTTATTTTCAGAAATGAAATGGTACGTAATGCATATGTATTAAAAGTGCACTACCTTGTATTTATAATGATAAAATCAAAAGATCTTAAAAAAATATCTAAGGGACTAAAAATCCACAGGCACGACATGGATACAGGAGTTGGTGTGGTTGGTAGCAAACGACTTCGATTATGCTACAGCAGAAGCTGTTCCACTTGTGGCAAGATTTCCCTTTATAGAGTAAGTGTCGTAAAATTTATTTATTATGCACAGAACAATCAGTTTTAATTACATAACTTTAGGATACAAAAGATAACGAAATATACTTATTAGGATCCCGAAGAAAGCACGAACAGTATAGTTGTATTTTAGACTTTGGGTATAGACACTTATTGAAAATAAGACTCTGGAAAGCAGAAGTCAGAAATCGATTACGAAGACAACTAAAGTCGAAGAACTTTTAAATTTAGAAATATCAACATAACACACTAATTAAACATAATAACTGAATAAAAACGAAACTACGTCAAAATGGCATCAAGAAACTGAAAGTTTATTTTTGTTGTTTTGTGCTCTACTAACTTCTTCTTTACCTTCTCCTTTTCCCGACACGAGGTCGGCCTTCCTTGTCATAGTATGCCATGTATTCCATTGGCTAGTATCTTCTCATCTCAGTTCCAAGCAGTTTTTTCCCTCTAAACATTCGCCAAATTTTATTAAAGTTATGGCTACTTCTTCACAACATAACTATCAAATCTTCTCATCACGTGACCTTACTTCACCGTAACTTATTTCACATATTTGTAACTTATATGTGCAACCTTAAAGCTGTGTCTTATGTGTTCATTGCGTATTCTATCCTTAAGTGTCGCTCCACAAGCATTTCGGTGGTGCACAGTCTTCGCTCGTGTATTTTTTACATGTGCAGGCTTTACCTTATAATATACTCGCACTGCTGTTTGGTACACCTTGTTTTTAGTTCTTGTCGGTATTTTTGCGTCACTTGTTATAACACTCCTATAAGCGTATGCCACTTCATTCATCGTGAAATGGTTCTCTGATTTTTTGAAGTATTCTACTAATATTAGTATTTGTTTGTATGACATTTTCTTTAATATACTTTGCAATTACTGTAATTTATCATCATTTTTTATATAAATTTCAATAATATACGAAAAGCCTTTACATGTGACTTCGTGGTATAAAATAGAATAGTAATCTTTCTAATAAATAGATGCACAGTAAAGATTAACAAATTGATCATTCATACTAACTAAAAATTAATTTTCAACTCCTACATATTTATACATGTTCACAGAGGATCCATGTTTAAGAGAAGCAAGAAGGCTCGAACCTTATTTAATTTTAAGGGAACAGAGGAACAGACGGAAGCGTTGTTCAATTCGGCTGACCATGCGGCAAAGTTGAAGTCTCCTCGGTTTATAAAGTCACATCTGCCACTGTCGATGTTACCCCCTGCTCTGCTGGACACATGCAAGGTGGTGCACATAGCGCGTGACCCTAGAGACATCATGGTATCTTATTACCACCACGATAGATTGTTCAAGGTTATGGGTTATACCGGCGACTTAAAGCAATATTGCAATTTGTTGATTAGGAATTTAGGTGAGAATGCTATTATATTTTATTCCATCAAACGTGCTAACAGTTTTGTGTTTATATAAAAAACTGGAAGTTTTGCATAGTCTTATTAATTTTTGTTTTCTTGGAGATGACGTTGTCACTTAAAATTCAATATGTGTATAATATATACCTGATGGGATGTCGTGGGTACTTTGGAGGATGGGTCGTCCCCTAGTATGGGATGCCGTCTGCGTTGATACTTTGGCGCCAACTCATCTTCCACGAACATGTCTCGAGGCGGGTGTAGCCAGCCACCGCTGCTGCGGAAAGCTTCAAACGGCGAATATATTCAGTATAAGTAATACTTACATATTTGAACCGTTTATCAAGAGTTAAAAAAATACACTTTTTGACAGATCTGGTTAGACGGCTAGTTTTGCACTTCGCCTGAAAAATTAGTTTGACTGTTCAAAGAGCAAACGCAACATTTTTTATTTAGTATAGTTAAGATTTAGCTTAGATAAGTAGTTTTAATATATGTAAATATTTTAAATAAAGCTGACTTTAAGAAATTCGGAAAAAAATAGAGGCGATTAAATGACATTATAATTTTGTTTTTTGACTGAATTTTCTAACCAACTTTATAGTTTTTCTACGAAGTAATCAACGAGATACTTTTTAAACAATAAATACTGTTTCTTTAATACTATTACTTTCTTCGACAGGAATTTATTTATCAAATTATGGTTACTTGTATTACTCAGCACTCTGTTGTTGTCTTTTCAGTTTACTTTACTCCTTTATTCGATAACGTGAAAGAATCATGGGAGAAGAGAAATCATCCAAATATGTTATTTCTGTTTTACGAGGACGCTTTGAAGGTACGTTAATTAGGTAAATATTCGCTCAATGAGCATAAGGCCTCTTTAAAGTCTAATTTTTGTGCAATGATCGCATCTGAATAGTATTTCAACTACTTGCATTTTGCCATTGTCCACTTCTTCTTTTATTAATGGTTTATCTGCGCAATTCGCACAATTCTGCCAATGTCAAGTGTATAAATTAATTTCTACATGTAAAATGAAAATGAAATGAATGAAAGATGGCAATGAATCATTGTCATTCATTGTCCACTGTTCGTTCTGCAGTTGAGAGCCTAAATCATTTATATTTAGACATACACAGAGCCTTTACAAATGGTAAGTTTCTTGTGTGTATCTTCTTTGATATCATAGGTGCCTGCAATAATGTTGACCACCATATTTTAGCAGAAGAATTGTGTTCTCTCCAGTTACCTGTGAAATTAGTGAAATGGATCTTTAATTTTTTAAACAGTAGGGAGGTCTATGTTAAATTTCAAAATAATTTGTTTGGACCACAAATGTCTAATAAAGGAGTTTGCCAAGGTGGGATACTCAGCCCATTGTTATTTATTCTGTATATACATAAGTTAAATAGTATATTAGGAAATGATGTTAATATATGCAATATTCTGATGATCTCACAGTTTACTATTCTGGCACAAATATGGCTCAAGTGGAGAAAAAACTTAACAATGCATTACACAATTAAAAACATACTTTACATATCTGAAATTAGATATTAATCTCACTAAAACCAATGTTGTAGTATTCACCAAAAAGAAATGAGGCTAAGTTCCTCGGTGTCACATTCACTAAGAACTTATCATGGAATAAACATGTAGCTGGCTTAGTAGACAAATCATTAAGAGCTTTTAACATCTTAAAGTCCTTTAGCTCGGACTTATTGAGGTGCTGAACCAAAAATTTTACTTATGCTGTATAAATCCATTGCCTGTTCCCATTTTGAATATAACTTTCTATGCTACACATATGACCATTTTCTTTTTCATAAATTAGAGAAGATTCAAAATAAAAATTTAAGACTTATCACAGGAGCAATGAATACCTACTACTATTAAATCTATGCAACTATTAAATCTATGCAAGAAGAATGCAATATTTCTTCATTACTATCTTTAGTAGATAAATTGATTCGTCCAAGTGAGTCTTCTTCATCATTGACATTTGTTAATACTCCTTGTAAATTCCCATATATTCTTCATGATTTCCGTGAAATATCAGCATATATTTAAAAAAAAACACAAATAGAAATGAACACTGCACTTGTTATAAAGGTTCCTATGAAGGGAAATTCCCACAATTAGAAATAAATATAGATAACAACTTACAAACAAAAGAAGCTGTATATGAAAAGTTATCAGAATGGCTAGGTTATGAAACAATTTATACAGATGACTCAAAAAATGACTCTGGAGTATCAGCTGCTTATTACCACAAAAATGTTAAGAATAGCAAAGGATATAGACTGCCAGTTATTTTCAGCATGTTTTCGGCTGAAGCCACTGCAATTCTGTTGGCTCTCAGATATGTTCAAACGGATATCATGTGCTCAAACAAAAGCAAGTTTTTTATAGTTTTCGATAGTATGTCCGTCCTCAAAGCACTAATATCAAAAGATAATTTTAACTCCAGTATGCACCGAATGTTCAACTCAAGAAAACCATACAATTAAACACATCTTTTTTTCATGCCCAACCTACAATATTTAGCGACTCGTTCTAATTCATCACCTCCTGAAAAGATACAAGACTATCCCGCCTTCCCTTCGGGATCTCTTAGCTTACCCAGAAAACTTTGTACCGATTTATGACTATATTAGCTCCACTCTTGGAGAAATCTGATTTGACCTTCCCGGATATGTAAAATAATAACCCTGGACAAGACAAAGAAATTTAAAACTAAAGAACAGCCTTTTTAAAAAAAATGATAAGACAAGACGAACTAAAAAGAAGACAAGAAGAAAAGATTAGGCGTTGCCATATATAATAATATAATAAAAAATATAACCCAAGATTTGGCTGTATGGCTTAGTTCCTTCGCTTGTCCCATGGACGAAACTAGGTACTACTACTACTGTATTCGTATTCGGAAAAATATAATAGGCTTTTAGGTGTCATATTAATTCGTACGAGTAGTATAGCAGGTAATATCTTAAATAGATCTGCGTTGCCTTAAACCTTGCCTGCCTCACGTTGATCAATATGACAAATGTACGTTACCTATGAACTGGAAATTTGCCCAAAAATCACTTTTGGCCCTGGCTCTCTGAGATTGGACTTGAACCCATAACCTTTCGCAATCCGGGTGGCTACTCTAACCACTGAGCAATCCAGGACCTAACAGGACTGACGAATTTTTCAAGCACTTTTCGCTACTATTTAGCGTATTGTCAACCCCATACAAATTTTTAAATTTAGAGCGTTTATTAGAGCTTTGTACAACCGGCTTTGTGAATGTGTGTTATTTCTCGTCCAAGTCTCAACGAAGAAGAATGAAAAGAACGAATGAATTTGTGGCATGACACCTACTTTTCGAACTCTCATTTGATCAGTTTCATTAATAGTTTTATATATTTCTTTTTCTGTTAAAGGATTTCCCGTCAACGGTACAGAGAGTAGCAAAATTCTTGGGGAAAACGGTGACAGAGGAGCAAATGAGCCGCCTATGTGAACATCTCGCTTTCAACAACTTCAAGAGAAATAAATCTGTTAATATGGAATTTTTTAAAGAGCTTAATACGACCAACACAAATGCCTCGCCTTTTATTAGAAAAGGTGAATACAATTATCGCTCCATTTGAATGTGGAATCAGTGGGTTAATTGCCTTATTTTAAAAGTTATCGCAATCTTTTTCAAAGATATGATGTATAATTGCGATTTATGGAATTACATAACTTCAAGGACGGAGATTTCGGAACGAATGGTGATTTGAATGATCAAGCTGAAAGATAAAAAATCTTACCTAAACTTGTCGAAAGATTGCAGATAGTATACAACTCTTATATTTGATTAATTTCGCATTCACAATGCAATACTGAAACATATTCTAAATACAAAATGCTTGAAAAATCCACTTGGTCTCAGGTTCTCGGTTCTGGTTATTTGGATCTCAGGGTGCCAGGGAGGACCAAGTGGTTTTTTTAAGCATTTTGTATTAAGAGTATACAACTCTTTCGTTGGACATTTCCCAATAGCTATCGAAGATATTTCGTCTAACGGTTCGGTTACCTTAGACAATTAAAATTAACCTATTCAATATCTTTTAAAAAACTTTGTGATCGTAATCGCTATAACATGTCAAATAGTTGTAACGTGAAGTTCGTGAATATCTTCCAAATGTGAAATCGAAAGTGAATACTAATGATTTTAAAGTTAATAAACATCGTGGCAATAAATAATTATATTGAATGTTTAAGATATCTAATAAATTTTAATGACTTATAAAACATGTAACATTTTGATACCTGGTATCTTTGTTGGTTATAGGCAAGGCTGGTGGATGGCGCGAGAACTTCGACGAGGAGATGACGCGGCAGGCGGAGCAGTGGATGGCAGACAACCTGCGTGATACCGATCTGAGATACCCTACTGTGTAAATGTCGTAATAAAATAAGTATATGGTTCAACATTACCCGCATATTTTATTTACAAATTTGGCGCTAGATTAATTAAGAAATAAAAGAAAAATTAAATACTTTCACTGGTCATAGAAAAAAATTAATAAGTTATGCTTGTAGGTTTTGAATTGGGTTTCCAGACTAAGTTAAATTCAAAAAACGAAATTTTTACTATTACTGCGATTTAGGTTTGAGTTTTCTACCTCCAGTCAGGAGCCGAACGAACCTTTGAATACTCTCCTTTAATATAAAGTTTATGAGTCATGGTAATTTTAGGAATACAACATTCGATAAAAAATGCCACCTTTTGAAGTACGAGCTGGGAGGTAATAATGTCATGCTTTTTAGCAGCGTATCTGACAAGGACGAATTTATTTATTTATTAAGATAGAAAAGGTTCAAATCAAATTAAAATCATTTATTTAGTTTAGGCCGTTACAAGCACTTGTGAGAATCAAAACTCTATGCCATCGGTTCGTAAAACTACGGCGGGAGACCTTGTACCAAGAAGAACCGGCAAGAAACTCAGCAAGGGCTGCTTTTTCTCCCTGTTTTATTTCATACAGATATGTCAAGATTCAATCAATACAATATTAGAAAATATAAAAAAGTATTATAGTCACTCGTCAATCACATGACGAGTTAAACAAGCTCACCGATAAATAATTAATTTAATTTAAATGGACAAGAATAAGTAGAGCAGACTCATCTCTTGCAGCACCCGTTCACGAGCATGACTCATGGGCTAGCAATTGGTTCGCTCAACCCTAATTTAGGCACGTTAAGTTCCCTAAATTAGGGTTGAGACCCGACCAACCCGTAGGGTTTATTCGATCCCAGCTGTTAAAGTTTACATGTATTATTTATTACACCCAAATGAAAAACGAACTGTATTTATACACTAAGGTGCGCTCTTAACGTTAGATTTGTGTATACGTAAATGGATACTCGTCATCATCAGCCTATAATGACATCGTCCTTCGTCCGCGTGGTATAGTGACTTTGGCCAGCATTCTTTAAACGAATATTTATTCATTAAATCGTGTAAAATACCCGAAATAAGGTTTCATGATTTTAGCTTTGACAATAATGAACATCTGTGCAAACTTTCATGCCTTTTTTCCACTATTTATCACAAAAAAGCAACCTTTGTCCTATCTCAAGTCACTCTGGGTTAGGTTAGGTTAGGTTAGTTGAGAGCGTTACTAATATACATATACACAGACCAAATTTTGCATGTATAATATTAGTACGTAATAATTAAAGGATTCTCTTTGCCGCTCATTACATAATATCTAGAGATTACCAGACAGTTACCGAAATAAAGAGACTATACAATATGTATAAATCACGATACTTTGGTCGACTTTTAAACTCACAGCTATTAAAATTGAAATTCAAAGTTTATATTGTTAATATAATGAATATGTTGTAACCAACTGGGTAAAAGATCCGTCCCATTCGGCGGTCCCCTACAATAGAATTAAAAAAAACCGTCGATCAGCTGTGAAGCCGTCACACGTCATAACGTCCTTCTACAGTACGGCTATAGAAAGCCTAGGAAACTGGTTAACTTTAATATATTAATAACTTTCATCATTAGCCCTTTTTCGTCCCCACTGCAGAGGCTCAGGCCTTCCTTATGGATGGTTAAGGAGGGTGGACCATGACCCTCCACGGTGGCCCATTGGAGCGTATTAATGACTGCAAATGCAGCCGGGACCAACGGCTTAAGGTGCCTTTCGAATGACAGGGTAGCTCGAGATAACTATTTTTGGTCACCCATCCCGTAAACGACCCTTGTGAAAGTAGCTTAACAGCAACGATCGCGAGCCACGAAGCTTATCCACTACGCCACCTAGCTACTTTACATCAGAATTAAGCTTAAAGAAACATAAAGTTCTCACTAAATTTTATTTAATTTGTATACTTAATGCCATCTACTATAACAGAAAATATATAAGTAGTTTGTGTTTTCTTTTATATAAAATTATTTGTATTGTTCTTGACTATTTTCAAAAATATTTATTTTAATTGTTATTCTTGTTGTCAATGGTCAAACCAAACCAAAATCTTTATAAATACTAATAGATAAGATTAATTACAATGACAAATCAGATTGTAAAATGTATGCTATGGTAACATTTTGATTCCCCATAAAACTTTTCCCTCCCATTTTTATCCCTTTAAGTGCTAGTTTTCAGAATAAATATAACCTATTACATTCTTAGGGTCACAAACTACCCAGATACCAATTTTCATCAACATAAGTCCATAAACAAAGAAGTTTCATACAAACTTTTTCACCCTTTTTGACCCCCTTCGGAATGGAATTTTCAAAAATCGAACTTCACGTATGAAGGGGAAGGTTCCCTCCAAATTTCAAGTTTCTACGACCAGCGGTTTAGGCTGTGCGTTGTCAGGACATCTCCTTTTATATATGTATAGATTATATAATACTTCAATACTTTAGCATATTGAAAAACCAAGATTTCGAAAGTTTCAGTTCAAAATTCTAGTAATTAACGTCCAATCATCTCAGACCAAATAAAAAGCATAGACGGAGTTTTGCCTAACAGAAAAGTGAAGCCGACAAAACTACGCCTCGGCATATTCGTACACAGTTTCACGCAAACATACATAACGAAACTACGCCTTCCTTATCAGTCTAACTATAGACAGTGTGCGGAACCTTTCATTATAAAAAAAAATCAAAAAATTTTTACTAACTGCCGAATTGTGTAGTAAAAGGTTGTAAAAACCAATCCTCAAAAAATAAAAAGCTGGATGGAATCACATTTCACACAACTATTGGAGAAAATTTACATTTTCAGTAATTTAAAAATAAAATTTAAGTAATTGCTTGAAACACGAAACCTCAGCTAAATATTACCATCGTTAAACGTTATTATTTACCCCGAAATTAAGTAACTTTAATTTTATGACGCGTTATTTCTAACAAAACACAAATTACGTTATGTATTTTTTTCTTGTTGTATGGAAATGATATTTAATAAATTTTGCATTGAAAATGCTACATAGAGATCCAGATCACAGATATTGAAGTGTTAGAATAAGGAAGTAAAAAATAAAAAACGGGTTTAATTTTTTACTTCTTTATTTTTACTAAACGGGTTTGCATTAATTTTTAGATTTCCAAACCGACATCAAAAAGTGAAAAAGAAGTGGATTTCAGTTATTCGTAATAGTCGAAATGAACTTTCATGGAATCCAACTTTGCGCAGCGTAGTTTGTTCAACTCATTTTAAGAGCGATGATATTATTATACTATAAAAGGGTTACGTCGAATAAAGCAAAACTCATATCCAAAGGTTTTAAACTTTCTATTTATTAAAATTTTAGTTAACATAGTGGAAGTTTTCAAACTTAACTTAAAAATTAATCAATTAGAATCTCTGATGTATGGCCTCCAATAATAATTACCTACTCTTAAAGATTTTAAAATATCTAGGCTGATATTGACAAATTATTTGGAATATTTATTTGGTCTGAGCTAATCATGTTTTGATAGTATAGTAGTTTGAATAAACAAACATTGGTTGATAAAATCGATTAAATCAGGTAAATTGTTTCGATATTGGCCACTATATCCGAGGTCAGCGCTATCTCTGTTGTAATTATGTTCTGCCTGTGCAGCTGTTACTTAAAACATAAGATGCATTCCCGGCGTTAACAAAAAGAAAACTTAATAAATTAATGTTCCCATACACACTGTCTGAACCTTAACAGTGTTATTACAAAAGAGACCTTAAACAGTGTTTTACCATGTGTTTACCTAAACTGTGTTTAACAATATAAACCCTGTTTAAAATGATGTCTAATTTTCCCTATTACAAATTCATTTTTAAACATTGTCTAAGTAAAGAAACATTCGTACTACTGGCTTTCATTCGTTCATACACGTTCTATTCTATGCACGCTGTATACAAACTTATAATAAATTTTAGACGTAAAAAGATATCTTTTAAACACACTAGTTAATAATTTTTGTAAATGAAAATATTTAATCTAAAATTATCATTCTTATCAAAGTCAAAACTATAGTGAAATATTGTGAAAGGTAAGATACTCCATAAACAACATATCATGTGTCAACATGACGTGTGTTGAAATTTTAAACAATGTTTAAGGGTTGTCTTGCCTTAACCAATGGTCAAATAGAACAATTCTTAAACACGTGTTCAACGCGTGTTTATCTTTTTTGTAATAACACTGTAAGTATCTGTCAGAGACTCGGGGTGCGATCAGCATGTTTACTCGTAAACGCAAACTCGTAAACGCGACGTTTCGTACTCTTCATTCGGTACATTAGCGTCAATTGACTCAATACATCGTGTTTATTGTATTAACTAATTGACATTTAGGAAGTAATAAATCTATGTTTCAAGGCTTAGCTCGTACTAGCTAAGGTTTGAATCATTGGATTTTATCGAAATTGACATTGAGATTGTGGTCGAGAGTAAACCGGCTGAAATAGTCATTTTCATGAACTTTGACACATTATTTAATTCAGAGGCGATACGAAGTTCTGCCGATTAATTTTGTTGATGTTTTTTTGAATTGAAATACCTAAAATCGAGACCTACTCGATGATTTTGTAATAGCACAAAAATAAGTTCAAAGACAAAAATCCGACAACAGCCAAATCACGCTCTAAAAGGTTTGAAACATTTTATAGCGATAGTTATGACCAAAGCGATGTTCTTTGGTCATCGCTTTTATAATTTAGCTAACGCTATAAAATAAATTTCTTCTTTCAAACTCTTTAGAACGTGATTTGGTTGTAATGTAACATCACATACGATCAGTTTCACAAACGCCCATTATGGTTTAATGACGCCTTTAAGTTCTAATGTATGTCAAAATTGTATGGATTATGTCACTTTTGACAAATGTGTTCTAATGAATGTCAAGTTTGTACGTATAATGACGCTTTTAACAAATGCCAATTTTAATGGAAGTTTGTGCAACTGACTGATAGTCTATAGCGCACGGACAATAGACGCTTCTAATAATACCTCATTTGTCCAGTTACGATGAGTAGTTTTGAAGTAATAAGGGATAAGATGAGTATCTTACATACATACCGGTCAAAATCATAACCCTACTTTTCGCTTCGCCGTAGTCGTGTAATGAAATATGTTTTTGTTATAATTCAAAACTTTGAGGACAAATATTATTTGGAAATAAGTATGATTATAATATTTACGAAATATCTATCCTTATCTTATCAAATATGATAAAATATACCTATTGGATCTTATAAAAATCTAACACCAGAAACTAATAATCTAATGATTTCTAATATACCGATAAATAAAGTAATATTTAATTGTGTTTGTGTTCACTATTAGTGGTATAAAACGATTTTATATTTATTCTTTAGTCTAAAAACTACCATGAGCGGGACATCTGCAAGTTATCCGTTAGAAATAAAAGACGTGGATTCAGATGAAAAAAGCGAAGTGTTCAAATATTTCTCTAAATGTGAGAACTTGTATTTCTTCGTTATGTATTTGCGATGTAACAAGTTTTTTTAGAATCAGCCCACAGATTTCAATTTTTTTTCTTACTATATGTACCAATAATAGATACATTTTATGAGTCCGTGCTCGAAGGGTGAAAAAGCAGGCTGTCTGTCTGTGTGTCCGTTAGTCACTAGGCTGTATTTCATGTTCACGCATGATGTTGGTATTTCTATTTGCGCTATAACAACAAATCCTAAAAAAAAAGAATATAATAAATGTTTATGTGGTCTCCTATACAAAAAACGTGATTATTTTAATCGTTTTCGGTACGACTTGTGCAACGTTCAACGTTTTTTTTTTTTCATCTGTGGTAAAGAAAAAAGGATGTCTTTAAACACATTTTTACTTATGATCAATCTAATTCAAAAAAGGTTCATATATTTTTGTTTAAATTAACTAACCGAATAAAAAAAAATAATAATCGTGTAAATAAAACAGCTTCTAACGGTTTCATCGCGTTTGTGTTTTCTTTTATTAACGTTTCGGACCTTTTTGCAGGTTCCGTTTTGAACACGGAATCTTTAAAGGATCTAAGTCTAAAGCGTCAATAAAGATAATGTAAACGTTTAAAAAATTAATGAAACCGTTTAAAGGTTGTTACATTTATTCATGGATAGTTCGCGTGAAAATATACGAATATGATATATAATTCTGTGTTAAAAAATCAATCCTGTATTAATAATTTATTAATACAGGGTCCTATGGATATTAGAGATGTTTAACACTTTCTGTCTTGTCAACAGTTCTATCTTAAAAACATGACGTTAACGTTGTATTATTTGATTGTCAGGTTGGCTATAGTGATAAATCAAATAATACGCTGTTACATAGTGACAGCTGTATGAGTTATAGCAATAGAGATTCTAGAATCCGTTCAAAGGAGTATCGTTTAATAATCTCATTTACAGGATAGTTTACGCAGCAAATAATGTTTAAAACATTTTTCTCAAAAAAAAAAATAAGAAATAACATTACCCGACCAAAATAATCACGTCTCGATTTGTCGTTTTCTCTATGGTCATTATACTAAGGAGTCACAGTCATAGACATAATATTTTATTGCTAACTTTACTTTAGCACTAACTTTAGTTCTCGTTTAATATTAAGACATATATTATTTTATATTTATTTATATGTTCGAAAATTCTTTCGTCATGGCTTGCATGGAAGAGAATTCTACATAACAATAAGACCGCCTTTTGCCTATTCTCACTTCCCTCTTCTTTGTAATATTACGCCCTATGTACTGTGCAGTGAAGATTATTATTATTATAAATATTTTTCAGCAACTCAAGATGGGTTCGTACGTATCGGCCCAAAGGGGTATTTCTACCCAAACGGGATGAAGGAAATTGCGCCAAAAATCTACAATATGGCGGTCAGACCAGATGACACTTGGGTGTTATCATTTCCAAAATCAGGTATGCTGATAAGCTTGTTAATTTCATATAACGTTTAGGTGGTAATTAATTATCATCATCGATCAAAACCTTAATGTTACCATAATCTATAATAAGGTGCCCGAAGTACTGAAGCCTTTCCCTTTCATCTATAGATGAGGATCAAGCATTATTGAACCCGAAGAAAACATGTCATGATAACTCACTTGAAGAAGTTTAAGCCGTTTTATGATAAAATCAGCTTTCCACCATGCGCTCCAGTATCTATATCCCTGTTTTTATAGTTATAAGTCCAGAAATGAGAAAAGTCCATATAAACATCAACTAGGTACATTGTCTTGTCAGGATTTACACCGCTTGACCCAAATTAGTTCAGCCGTCATTATAATTACTTAAATATCATAAATTCAGTTCGTAATCAGCCACCAAGAGCGCTACGCGTACTCATACATTCAATCATACATTCATACGTGTTAGTTAGTGTTAATACGACGACGACCTCCGTAGCCTAGTGGTTCGCACGCCGGTTTCAAGGTGTCGCCATTCTCTAAGGTCCCGGGTTCGATTCCCGGTTTGGTCAATGTAGAAAATGAACTTTTCTATATTGACTCGGGTCTGGGTGTTGTGGTACCTTCGTTGTCTCAGATACTCCATAATACGGGGGCTTTAGCTACTCATCTTGGAATCTGAGCAATGTATGTGATGTTGTTAAATATTATTAAATATTATATAATAGTTGTTTCAAATATACAGTTTCTATTTAATCAAATATTATCATTTACCAAATCATTTCGGTATAACCCGAATTACTCTTTAACCCCACAGAACACACCTCTTTTCCGTGTTCTGTGATTTAACCCCCTTAGGGGTAAATTTATAAAAATCCTTTCTCAGTGCTCACTTAAATTATGAAAGGAACCCCTGTATCAAATTTAAAGTTAAGTAGTAGTTTTGGCTGTGCGTTGATATAGAAGTCAGTCATGTTTGCTTTTTAAATAGATTTAGTAAAGTATCTTTATCGTAATCTTCACTGATAAATTTTTCCATTGCGGGGACATAGGCCTTCCCTATATTCTCTATACATATGATTTATTTTAAATAATCTATCTATACTATAATAAAAACGTAACTGATCGATGTTTGTACATTGAAGGTATATAAAAAAAACTGTCATGAGGGACATTTATAAACGTAATAGAACACATGCATGACAATATTTTTTATTTTTTTTGTCTGTTTGTCTGTGCGTTTATGCACGATGATCTCAGAAACAGCTGAACCGATTTAAATGCAGTTTCCACTATTATATTGTGGTATTGTTCCGTTAACATTTAGCGTAAGATTTATTTTAATCGGTTCACAAATAAAAAAGTTATATCAATTTGAAGTGACGTGTTCGCCAAAATTGCTATGAAATATTGCCTATTTTATTAAATTTTCGTCTTTGATGTTTTGATCATCATCATTAGCTTTTTCACAGTCAAACTGCAGGTCCTCAAGCCTTTGTATAATAATTTTTGGTCACCCATTCCGTGAACAACTCTTGCGAAAATTGCTTATCAATAGCGATCGTGCGCAACGGCGCTTATCTGTAGCGCCACCGAGCTACGAATTAATATTGTCTATAAAATGATAATTTGTATGATGACTAATAAAAAAAATAAGGTTTCAAAAACTTTGATAACTCCAAAGTAAGTTGACCTCATTTATATATGGCCAATCATATTAAATAAGGTTCAGCTTATAATGGACGTGTGATATACGATTATGTTGGTAGTCAACCAGCAAGGCACGATATTCGACCTCCGTAGATCATCGCTAATACATACTATAGTGTAGTATGAATTGAAAACGTCTGTCGATTTGTAGTGTCATTAAATTAAAATATGAATATTTATACTTATATAATAAAACGTTATTGTTTCATAGAAACTGCTGTTTAATCTCCCTCTAACAAGTGGTAGCAGAGCGTAGTTATCGTTTACGGGAGTAGGTACTGTAAATAAAATTGCAGAAATGGCAACAGCTACAAACAATCGAATTTCTATAGAGGCATTAACGAAATCCAATTACGACACCTGGTGCCTTCAAGCACAAGCTGTTCTCATAAAAAATGAACTGTGGGATATAGTAAGCGGTGCAAAAATACTACAGCCGAATGCTGACGCTATAGCCAGGGCGGCATTCAACAAAGAAGACCTCAAAGCCAAAGCAGAGATCATTTTGTTGCTATGCCCGTCAGAATTAAAACAAATTAAAAGCTGCACAACGTCAAAGTCGGTATGGGATAAGTTAAAGGCAACTTATCAAAGCACCGGGCCAGCTAGAATGGCCACCCTACTAAAGCAGCTAGTACTTAAGAGAATGAGCACTAACGAAGAGATCCGCGATCATTTAAATAACTTTATGGACATAGTAGACAAACTCGAGGACATGGACATCAAAATCCCAAAGGAACTGCTCAGTGTCATGATTTTATACAGCTTGCCGACTTCTTACGAGAATTTCCGCATCGCAATAGAATCGAGAGATACACTGCCTAATCCTGAAAATTTAAAAGTTAAAATCTTTGAAGAATCACAGGCGAGGAGCAATGCAGAGAAACCAGAGTCCGAAGAGAAAACTGAAGCTTTAATTTCCAAAAGGAAAAAGTTCTGTACATACTGTAAGAAAAACTCACATAGTACGGAATCATGTTGGTCCAACAAGAAACAAGGCAAAACTTTTATGAAAGTTTCAAAGGGCAAAGACAACAAACAACAGAAAAGTTTCAATACTTGTCTAAATTTAAATAATGTAAATATGTCAAAAATATCATGGTGTTTAGACAGTGGATGCACGTCACATATGACGAATAATAAACAAATATTTTTAAATATTTCCGAAGACAATGGCTCTGTAAAATTGGCTTCAAATGACCATTCGACTCCAGTCAAAGGAAAAGGCACGGCACAAGTAAGACTGAACGAATACTCATGCAAATTACATGAAACTCTTTATGTGCCAAATCTCTCGACAAACTTACTTTCAATTGGGAAGATCACGGACAGAGACAATAAAGTTGTGTTCGAGAACGATAAAGCTTATGTTGTTGAACCTAACGGTGACATATCACTAAAAGCAAAGAGAAAGGATGGCTTATACCACATATGTCGTGAATCCGAAGATATAGCAAAGTCAGTAACTGTCGAATCAGAGATGATGACGTGGCATAAGAAGCTAGGCCACATTAATGAGAGAGACCTAAAACAAATGGCTAAAGACAAGAAGTTAAGAGGACTTATTTTTAAGGAAGATAAACTCGATACCTGCGAATCATGCATCAAAGGTAAAATGACACGATTACCATTTCCCAAAAATGATTCTATAAATAGCAATCAACCATTAGAAATCATTCATACTGATGTCTGTGGCCCATTCGAAATAGAAACTTTGGCCGGGTCAAAGTATTACGTCTCATTCATCGACGATTATACAAGATACAGCTACGTCTACTTTATGAAGAACAAAAATGAAGTGTTCAAACTATTCAAAGAATTTAAAGAAGAATTCTTTCTAATTTTCACAAACTTAAAATACAGAATCTACAATCTGACAACGGCACTGAATACAGAAACAAAGAGTTCGATCAGTATTTAAGGGAGAACGGGATAAAGCGACAACTTACCGCACCTTACACACCCCAACAAAACGGTGTTGCTGAACGCAAGAACAGGTCTTTATTAGACAAAGCTCGTTGTTTGATGATAGATTCAAACGCGCCCAAGATTCTTTGGGCCGAAGCTGTAAATACTGTAAATTACCTTGTAAATAGAAGTCCAACTAAACTACTAAAGGGTAGTATACCATATGAGATGTGGGTAGGCAGACCAGCATCGGGGAATCATCTCCATGTATTTGGAAGCAAAGCTTTTGTCTTCAAAAAGACACGCCGAGGAAAGCTAACTCCTAAATCTATCAAAGGTGTATTTATGGGCTATGCGTCAAATGCAAAAAGTTATAGGATATTCATACCAGAAAAAAATGATATAATGATAAGCAGAGACGTGAAGGTAATAAATTAAATGTATTACGAAAGCAAAAATGATACTTATGAAAGTATTATTGAAAATAAAGAAAAAGATAGCAAAGCAGAAGTCACAAATATACAATTTGAAACAAGAATGAATGATGACTTACCTGTACAGCAACTTGATATTACAGATGTTGTAAATAACCCTAATCCAGATGTAAATACAGATGAAAATGAGATACATCCGGTTGTACGACCTCAAAGAGAACGAAGACCGCCAATACGGTTGAATGACTATGTACAAATTAATGATAATGATTGTGAAATTGATGAATATTATGACACAAACATAGCAGAACAATCACACAAATGTGAAGATGGTGATGACGAAGATTACCATGATGCTATAAAATCTGAAATCAGAGCGCATATCAAAAATGATAGAGGTACATGGCGGATAGTTCCTAAAGAGAAAGATACGAGACTAATCGGATACAAAATTATTTTAAAAAAGAAAATTGGCCCACACAATGAAATTAAAAAGGCCAGACTAGTCGCACAAGGCTTTACCCAAAAACCTGGGATAGACTGTAATGAAACTTTTGCACCTGTTGTAAAATTGAGTTCCATAAGAACAGTTGTAGGAATGGCATTAGAAGAAGGCTTACATTTATGTCAAATGGATGTAACTACAAATGGTGACCTAGATGAAAAAATTACAATGAAAGTTCCAGAATGTCTAGAAGAATATGTATCAGAGGTGATGGTAGATGAAATAGATAAAGAAGATCTGACTGTATATAATAAAGCTAGAAAAATGCTCGAAGATCTGAAAGGTATAAAAGGTGACAAAGTCTGTTTACTAGAAAGAGCGCTATATGGATTAAAGCAGTCAGGACGTCAGTGGTTTAAAAGACTAGACACTGAACATAGAAATATTGGCTTCGAAACTTCATCTGCTGATCCATGTCTGTACATATCAATTAAAATTATGATCTACGTAGATGACATTTTGATGACTTACTCAAATCCTGAGACCGCTAAACATATAAAAAGGTTGTTGTCAAAACAGTTTGAGTTAAAAGATATGGGCAAACCCAAAAGACTCCTCGGAATTGATTTCATATACAATGACGAAGGTATCAAACTGTGCCAAGAGGCATATATTGAGAAAACACTCAAAATATTTGGCATGGCTGAATGCAAAGCATCAAAGACGCCAATAGAACCTGGTATCTGTCTCTTGAAGAATCCCAAGAAAGAGGGGGATAACCTACCGTATAAAAATCTAATCGGTAAACTTATGTATCTTGCAATTGCTACAAGACCAGATATAATGTTTGCGGTCAGTTATCTATCGCAATACAATGATTGTTACGGAGAGGAGCATTTTAAATGTGCCAAAAGAGTACTAAGGTACTTAAAAGGGAAGGGGTTTAATCTCCCTCTAACAGATTACGCGAGTAGGAGAACAAGCGAAAAGAGCCTTCCGATGATGCTATTAAGCATCGAGTAGTTTACAGTGCACGCATATTTTTATGAAATTAGGTTCACGTCGTCGTCGGGGCCGCCGCCCCCGCATTGCACGGTTTCATCTGTCTGGGAGAGGCACTCGATTTACCCGAGCCTCTCCAATTTTCCATTTGCAAGGGGACCAATGGTTGAATACTTGAGTGTCCTGGTGATTAGGCCATAGCTTGCTGGGTTTCTTCTCCCATGAGAGGGTGTAGCGTACGGGTTTTGGTGGGTAGGCCTCTGGGGACCCACTGGGTAGCTGACTGTCGGGTTCACGGAGGAGAATCCTACTCATACCCTGTTGCTTCCCAGGCAACAGAGACAATGTCAGAAGCTTTTCCACAAATGTTAAAAAAGTTAGATTCACGTCAACTGAAGTTAAGAACGTAAAGACAACTCAAGTTATATATTTCTTTTTCTCTTATTATTATTTTTTATGTTAATACTCTTTTTGTTTTTTTTTTTACATACAAACTGCTGTAGATACGTACTTCAAAGTTGGTATTTTCAGTCTTCGCTGGAAACAATGGTTTATTCATTGGTCACAACACATATAATATTACGCGAGTCTGAGGGTGGGTTCAGTGTAGCTCGGTGGCGTAGTGTAGTGAAGTGGGGTCGGTTTCAGGATGGGTGCCCAAAAAATATAATTTCAAGCAACTCCAAGCTTCGGAAGGCACGTCAAGCGATTGGTCCCGGTTGTATTTGCAGTCGTTAATATCCACTAATCCGCATTGGGCCAGCATGATGATGATGATGAGGGCCGTTCAAATCTGACGGAAGCTCAGTTAAGCACCTCTCGGAAGTATGTGTTAGTAGACGATTTCCTTTGAGTGTGGAAAGTCGAAATTAAAATATGTATATATATTTTTTATATCAATAAATAAAACTCAACGTATCTTCCGTCAGACATGTACCGACCGACTTTTATTGACAAAGAAAGAGATCGGACGGAAAGCGCTCGGTCTCGGGAGAAACCTGAAAAACGCGAAGCGTATTTAACTGCCCATCGCGAGGCTCATATACTCTAAAGTTGAATCTGAAGCATATACCATCAGAGACAATCACTTGAGCTCTCGAAGAACTCATTCAAAAAACGAATGATCTCAGGAAACTTCTGAAGATCGCATAGCGCGTTTAAACTGCTGATCGTAACATATGTGCAGTATGGTATGAGTATGAAACTTCCTTTGATAGATAAATGCGCTTGGTCTCTGAAAGAGCTCGCAGTTTGCACAATAGAGATCTAGAAAGTAGTTTCGATTATAGCCAACCCGTGTTGCCATCATACTCCACAGGCGCAGAATAGTTTTCGCAGAGTATAATGAACTAGTTCTTAAACACTGTGCGTGCACAACACTGGCACAATGCACGTTAAGCCGTTAGTCCTGGCTGCATCAGCAACGTTATGGCCCATTGATCTTATTCGATTCGACTCCATTCATAGGAAAAAAATTATCCTACCAAAATACTTTCCACGCAGACGAAGTCGCGGGCACAGCTAGTTTTAAATATATTTCATCTATAGGATAGGCATGTTCCCAGCAGGGGGCATATCAATAGGCTGGTGATGACGATGATATATTTAGCTTGGAAGCTTGACTGGATCGGATCTGTGCACTGCTTCGATCGCTTTGTAAAATATGGCGGACGAAGACAGGAATTATCAATGGAATACAATATTTCACACGCGACATATATGCTTGGAAATATTTTTTTATTAATACTATAGAAGGAAAAGATGTAATTGTTACAAACAATTTGAATGGGCTCCGAAACTACTGACCTGTTTTTAAGATCGATTCATCTACGGGTAGCTATATGTAAGCTATATAGTGACAGCTATAATGTACGTGGGCGTAGTCGCCTGAAAACAGCTACTTAATAAACATATTTAACAGTAAAACGTTCTAATGATATAAACTATAACTGATGTTCTGTAGAACAGGATTATCCTAGTATCGGTCACCAGTCTCCGTCCTTGAATTGAATAAGAATAAAATGACAAGTGTAAATGTGTAATATGCAGAGAAAAATAAAATATTATTATTATTATACATTTAATGTGTGATAGATATCCCGAAAGTAATAATCTTTTTAATATTCCGCAGGTACCACATGGATGCAAGAGTTGGTGTGGTTAGTAGCAAACGACTTCGATTATGCTACAGCAGAAGCCGTTCCACTCGTGGCAAGATTTCCATTTGTAGAGTAAGTGAATTGATGTATGAAGTTTTCAATATTTTTTTATAAAATTCAGATGATGTATGAAAAATTTAAAATGTCCACAGAGTATCGATGTTTATAGGAAATGAGACATCCAGATCTATAGTTGATTTTGAAAGTAAAGAGGAAGAGAATGAGCTAATTTTAAATTCAGCTGATTATGTAGCAAAGGTGAAGTCACCTCGCTTCATCAAGTCACACCTGCCGCTGTCGTTGCTGCCGCCCACGCTCCTCGACACGTGCAAGGTGGTGCATGTAGCACGCGATCCTAGAGATGTCGCCGTGTCTTTATATCACCACGACAATCTATTCAAGTATATGGGTTATACCGGTGACTTAAAGCAGCATTGGAATCTGTTAATTAAGGATTTGCGTAAGTACGCTATGTTGTTTAACCCATTTTTACAGTAAAGAGCAACTATATAAAAATCATTTATTATTGAATGCCGGCGATATCTTTCAGTTAGCTTAACTGTAAACCAAGAAGTTAAACTAGAGTTTTTCATTGTGAACTTCAGAACTTGGACAGTTGATAACGATCACATTGTTAAAGCTACATCAGTTAAATGTATAGATGAAAGATTTTATTGAGCATTAAGCAATAAAAATATAAACTTTAAAAAAAAATAAGACCCGACTTCAAACTTTAAAAATTCAAGAAAATGCAATTGAAGTCGGGCGGAGGTTTTTTGTAGGTTATTAATTAAATGATAGGCGCCCGACTTCAATAGCATTTTTTGAATAAGTCGCTATTGAGATAAGTTTTATTTATTTATTTATTTTTAAAGTTTGAAGTCGGTTAATTTTTTTTATTTTTCCTTTTAAGTGATATTGATATTGTTTTTTTATAATAAATAAGTAAGATTAAAATATTAGGTCCTTACATATGAAAAAATATTAGGTCCTTACATTGGCCACTTTAATTACAAATTACTTCTTCTTGGTTGGGAATTCCAAATTCAAATTTATACAGCCATTTACACACTTACGTATTTGTGCTTCGTTACGCGGCATTCATTTGTTTTTTTTCTTCTGTTTGTCCTTACTGGGTTTTACTGGGTGACGTAAATCACCCAGTAAATAAAATTGAAAACTTGAAATATCGTGTTATTTACGAGTACGAGTTCCACCGTGGTACCAATGCTGCGGAAACGACGCGAAGGGTTGATGATGTGTATGGCGGTTGTGTCGCAAAAGAAAACACAGTGCGTTTTTTATTCCAACATTTTCGTTCTGGAAATTTCGACCTGCAAACAAGCCTCGTGGACGGCCGGAGATCCAAGTTAATAATGAAGATTTGAAGACTATTGTGGAAGCGGATCCATCGCAAACCACGTCCGAGTTAGCTGCAGGCTGTGGTGTTAGTGATAAAATTGTTTTAATCCACTTGAAGCAAATTGGAAAGATTCAATTAAAAAGCTTGAAAGGTGGGTACCTCACGAATTGAATGAACCAAACTGGCAAACGCGCTTCGACTGCTGCGTTACAATACTTAACCGGCATAATAATGAAGCGTTTTTAAATCAAATCATTACCTGCGATGAAAAATGGATTCTCTACGATAATCGGAAGCGCTCATCTCAATGGTTGGACCCTGGCATGCCAGCCAAATCCTGCCCCAAGCGAAAATTGACCCGAAAATAGTTACTTTTAAGCGTTTTGTGGACTAGTCGTTCAATACAGTTTTCTCAAATATAGCCAGACTATTACGGCAGACGTCTATTGTCAGCAATTGTAAACCATGCTAGCTGTTAAACATCCGAGGCTGGTCAATCGCTCTACGCTACTGCTAATTCGAGACAACGCTAAGCCTCACACTGCAAAATAGACATCTACCGTACTCCCCGGACCTTGCTCCAACAGATTACCATTTCTTCCGAAATTTTAATAACTTCTTGCAAGTGAAAAATTTCAAGTTCGATGGGGCAGTGCAAATCGCCTACAAAGATTTGAGTTATTCCCGTCCGAATGGATTTTTTAGTAAGGAGATCAATGACCTATGAGATTATGCAAAAGTGCATGGATTATATTTTGATGAACAGTGGTTTATACTTTGATGAAATAAATACCATATTATATAAAAAATATTCGACTTTTTGTTCCACCCATACCAAACACCAATTTCATATGTAAGAACCTAATATTAAATATCTGGTGAAAAGCGAATTTTGTTTTGTTATAAAAAGAAGAACTACCTGATTTGATTTCGAGAAATTATGAGACTACCTCATTCCATTAAGCTGTCGAATGAAAAATATAATATCGGTGAATATATAATAAATATCGGAGAATATACATAAAAAAACACAACCACCTACCTTCTTTTGAATTTTGAATTTGATTAAAAATAAGATAAATCAATAACAGCCAATACCCGATTAATGCAAATCACCTCGGCACAGAAATCATCCGCACGCCACATTCAGCCCTGCGATTCTGTCCATGATCCAGACTCAAATACAAATTCACGTTATTAAGTGTAGAAATTGTATTGATTCCATTTTTTGTCTAAAAATACAAAACAAAATTGATTGAACATTCGAACATTTGTCTCTCAGATATTCTATTCCTACGTCATTTTGAAACTCACTTCACTTATGTCACGAAACGTTATTACCAATAATACCAATTCATGGTTGAGCGGATGCGCTTTTTGAAATGAATTCGGCCACCTGAGTGAATACGGATTCGGGTTTGAATTTTTACAGAATTGCAGGGCAGGCCTTGTGTTGACAACGCCCAACAATTAATGTAAATTAAGCAACAAAGTCAATATAGTTCATGTTATCATTCAAATTCAGTTTAATTTACGTTCCTAAAGTCATGGAAAATTTTATACTTACTTCGGATGAGTGTAGCTATCATATATATCACACAAACAAAAATAAATCGACGATATCCAATTTTGGTTTATTTAAGCTTTATAATGCAAACGAACCAAAGTATCGCTCATGTGGTGAATCTTGTCATTGGTATTATTGTTTCAGTTTATTGGACTCCTTTATTCGATAACGTGAAAGAATCGTGGGAAAAGAGAAATCATCCAAATATGTTATTTTTATTTTACGAGGACGCTTTGAAGGTATGTAGAAAGATTGCTCAAGTGGTGATAATAGTCACAGAATACTACTTGTGAATTGAAACAAGAAAGTATAAAGGCTCCTTCATACAGGCGCTTTATTACAGGTCGATAATATCGCAAGCGGTATTGAGTTAATGCGTCCCGATTCCTTACATTCCTTGCACACAGCTGCGTTTTTATCGTCCAATATTTCTTACAAAAGAGCAACGTTATTATCGCAGGTGTGTGTACAGTCGTTTGCGTCCTGATAGGAAACATTCTAGAACTCATATCGGAATGTCGCAGGACAGAGAAACGCAACGTCCTATTTCTTGCGGCGTTATAATCGCAGCAGTGTGTAACTACATGACCATCCTAATACAAAATGTACTGAAAACATATATCGCAGTAACGCATGCGATATGATCGACCTACAATAACGCGCCTGTATGGGGTGCCTTAAGGCTCACTTATCCTGCTTTTTGACATCCTATGAAGTTCCGTGTAATATAATTTTTAATACTCGTGAATTAGCTGTTGGCATTCATGCGACTCAGCAATCATGAGCCCATCAAATAATTGTTTCTTGCTTTACGTCTTTTTTTATAAAATAATCTTTACATGTGGCATGAAATCAATCGGTTGCTAAACAGCCATTTTATTCGATGGTTAGACAACGCCAAACGAACTATACGCCCACTTTTATAGTTTAATAATTATTATGCCAATTAAAATGTTCAACATTATGTAAGTCAAAAGATGTCTTATATGAGTCAGTATGTAATTCTCCTTGCAGTTTGATTTTGGTTTCATGACGATATCAATAATTTAAAATCATAGCGACATCAGAATATAGAAAATTAGTCCGAAGGTTTTAGTTTGAATTAAACTGACTTTTAATGGGTTTAAAACATCATTTAGGTATTTCGAGAATGCAGCTCCAGTAACTTCGTTCTGTTGATTAAATGATTTACGATTTTTTAGCGAACGTTACATATTAATATCAGATTTTAGTACTTGCATAGAATATATAATAATATTGTTTAAATTTTTTTTTCTTTTTAAGGATCTTCCGTCAACGGTGAAGAAAGTAGCGAATTTCTTAGGGAAAACAGTTACAGATGAGCAGATGACCCGACTCTGCGGACATCTCTCCTTCGACAGCTTTAAGAAAAATAAATCTGTTAATATGGATGCATGGAGTGTCTTTATGGACGATACTAAGAAAGACACTTCTTCTTTTATAAGAAAAGGTGGGATCTATAAATCCACATATTTTTATAACGCATTTTACGCATTATAGCAGAGAAATAATAACACGATTTTTTATCATAAATAAAATCTAACCACAGAAAAGTAATATTTTTGAGGTCATATATCGATAAAACACAGACCATACAGACCGACATATATGAATATTACGCAATTCCAACGAAGTTACATACATACAATTCGAATCGATAACCTTCTTTATTTGAAGTCGATTAAAAATACCCTCAACCTCAGACCAAATAAAAAGTAAAGACGAAGTTCGCTGAATAACAAAGTGAAGCCGATTTTTAGCAATTGTAGTGTGCGTGCCAGTGTGACCGTAGTCATTAAAAACACCCCAATAATTTAACGTTACGACGTTATAGAGTTAACGTTAACGCTATGCTATTTAATAATATAATGTAAATTCTTTTTTCAATATCAGCATAGATATTCTAAAATGTTTAAGAGTAGATAATTATTATCGGAGGCCATATATTAGAGAGACTATTTAATTCATTTTTAAGTTATATTTGAAAACTTCCACTATGTTAACTAAAATTTTAATATATAGAAAGTTTGAAACCTTTTGATATAAGTTTTGCTTTATTCGACGTAACCCTTTTATAGTATAATACATATCATCACTCTTAAAATGAGTCGAACAAACTACGCTGCGCGAAGTTGGATTCCATGAAGGTTCATTTAGACTACTACGAATAACTGAAATCCACTTCTCTTTCACATTTTGATGTCGGTTTGGAAATAAAAAAATGTATGCAAACCCGTTTAGTAAAAATAAAGAAGTAAAAAATTATACCCTTAAATCCTTATTCTAACACTTCAATATCTGTGATCTGGACCTCTATGTAGCATTTTGAATGCAAAATTTATTAAATATCATTTCCATACAACAAGAAAAAAATACGTAACGTAATTTGTGCTTTGTTAGAAATAACGCCAGGTAACTTTAATTTTATATAAAGTTACCTGATTTCGGGGTAAATAATAACCTTTAACGATAGTAATATTTGGCTGAGGTTTTGTGTTCCAAGCAATTACTTAAATTTAATTTTTAAATTACTGAAAATGTAAATTTTCTCCAATACTTATGTGTGAAATGTGATTCCATCCTGCTTTTTATTTTTTGAGGATTGGTTTTTACAACCTTGTACTACACAATTCGGCAGTTAGTAAGAAATTTTTGATATTTTTTATAAATAAACGTTCCGCTCACTGTCTTTAGTTAGACTGATAAGGCAGGCGTAGTTTCGTTATGTATGTGTGCGTGAAACTGTGTACGAATATGCCGAGGCGTAGTTTTGTCGGCTTCACTTTTCTGTTAGGCAAAACTCCGCCTATACTTTTTATTTGGTCTGAGCCCTCAACACTCGAAAACGAGTTTGTTGATCCGTTCAAAGTTTACATTTTTATGTATTAGAATAAGAATTTTCTGATCTGCCCTGCGATTCTGTAAAAATCCGGACCCGTATTCGAATTCACTCATGTGTCCGGATTCACGTGATTTAGTGAAGAAATTTGTTTTGTATTTTTATACAAAAAATTGAATCAATAGAATTTTTACACTATGCGGCCATCCATAAATTACGTCACACGTTAAGGGGGAGGGAGGGGGTCGACGAAGTGTGACAAGGAGGTGGGAGGGTCCTAGATTTCGTGACGTCACATTTCAAAATCTGTTATAATCTAAGTGTTAAAACACGAACTTTGAATTATTACTTTACAAAAACCTTGCAAAATATAAATTATGGATGACCCCTATTGTGAATTCGGAAACATGATTGAATTCTAATTCGGGTCTGAATTTTTACAAAATCGCAGGGCAGTGAAGCATGACCAGGTTCAGTTGGTATTTTGCGTATCTAAAAAAGTCTTCAAACATTAAATCTATTCACTATAATGCTGGGACTCTTTGAGGGAGAAATTTAAGGAAATAGACGTAATGACTGTTGCTTCTCAATACATATACGAGAACTTAATGTACGTTCGTAAAAATATTAGTTTGTTTACTATAAAAAGTGATGTACACAATATTAATACAAGAAATAAAAATAAATGAACAGTGCCTGTCACTAGACTACAAAAAGTTAATAACTCATTCAGGGGTCTTTGTGTGCGCTTCTACAATAAGGTCCCAAGCAAAATACAACAATTAGATATCATGCAGTTTAAATCTAATATTAAAATAATACTTATTAAAAAAGCTTACTATAAGGTATCCGATTATATAACAGATAAGAATGCTTGGATTTGAGATGATCCAGCAACTGGATAGGATAGGATTACTTCTTAACTCATTATATCAAAAATTATCTTGCTTCCATTATTATTAAATGATTATGTTATCATTATAAGACCATAGTTTCTTTTTTTTTCTCTCTTTATTTATAATGCATTGATCTGGTAGTGACATGGTTTTTATAAATGTCATTACTCCTATTAGAGCTGGTGAGTTTCTTGCTCGTTCTTTTTATCATCCAAAAGACGTCCTGAATGAGCAGTAGGGAAAAAAATGTTGGACGATTCAAAAGTACTTTTAAGAAGTTTATTTGAATAAAGATTATTTTGACTTTGACTTTGGCTGTGTTAATTTTATAGGAAAAGCTGGCGGATGGCGTGAGGACTTCGATGAGGAGATGAAGCAGCAGGCGGAACAGTGGATGGCCGACAACTTGCGTGACACCGATCTGAAATATCCTACTGTGTAAATGTCATAATAAAATAAGTATATAGTCCAACACTACCCACATATTTTATTTACAAAGGACATTGCTCAACGTCCATACATTGGTGGCCCCAGAGCCAAAAAAATATAGGAAAATACTTATTTTATTGTGTGTCACTAACTAATTCTCATTATGTATTTATTATACCGCGACCGAGTTTTAGAACTTATTATCACGCAAAATATAATTCATTTTGAGGTTACAATTTGTTTGGAAAACACCAAGAGATGGCACTCTAAGTACATGATATGATATTGATGTCTATATTGTCGAAGCAAAAAAACTCAACTTTAAAAAAGTCAGTTTTTCGTTGTGATTTGTAAAAGTTTCTTAGTCAATCAATTGACAAATAAATCACTCTAATAGTTAAATAATCTACCTATTGATAAGCTTAAAATTAAAAAACCTATAACTTTTTGATGGTTTACATCAAAAGATGGCGCCTTAAATACATAAATGACATGATGTTAATATGTTTACGAGAAATATAAAGGTAATGTAATAGAAACAAAGTAGTTTTTAGAATATGTCGTATGAACATCAATCTTTCTGAATAAACAAGAGTGAATTATCAACAGTTAATGAATTTAGTTTGTATAATATTCAGTTTTATCCTTATGTTTTAGTTGGAAAATCACCAAGAGATGGCGCTTTTAGTAAATTTAAGTTTATTTTCGGTCAATTTAATTTAATGTTTTTGTGTTCGATGATTTAAAGGCTATCTAATAAAAATAAATGATCTTCTTGATCTGACGTGTAAATTACATCCATCTGACTCAATAGAATTTAAGTATATTGAATGTGAATATTTGCGAATAAAAATGTTATCTACTGTTAAAGTACTTTTAAATATTAATTTTGGATCGCAGAATGTCCGTGTCAAATAAATATTTGATTGATGAAGAAGAATTAATATTTAATGGTATTGGGGCCATTTTCGGCGATGTCCTTTGGCGCTTAGATAATTAAGAAATAAAAGAAAAATTAAATACTTTCACTGGTCATAGAAAAAAATTAATTAGTTATGCTTGTATGTTTTGAATTGGGTTTCCAGACTAAGTTGAACTCAAAAAACGAAATTTTTACTATTACTGCGGTTTAGGCTCGAGAGGGCAGTAAGATAATTTTTTTCCTCCAGTCAGGAGCCGAACGAACCTCTAATATAAAGTTTCTGAGCCATGACTCAGAACTTACTTTTATAAATACAATCGTCGTATAAAAATGCCACCTTTTTAAGTACGAGCGGTATGTAACAATGACATGTTTTTCGGCAGCGTACCTGACAAAGGCGAATTTATTTATTTATTTTTGAACATAGAATAGGTTCAAATCAAATCAAATTAAAATCATTAATTTAGTTTAGGCCGTTACAAGCACTTGTGAAAATCAAAACTATTCCATTGGTTCGTAAATCTACAGCGGGAGAACTTGTACCAAGAAGAACCGACAAGAAGTTCGTCAAGGGCTGTTTAATCTCCCTATTTTATTTCATACTGTGATATCAAGATTGAAAACTGACTTTATTGAAATACGAAGTCGCTTTCCATCACAATATTAGAAAATACACAAAAGTATTATGTATTCACTTGGTAATCGATTCACATGCCGAGTTAAACAATCTCACCGATTAATAATTAATTTAATATACATAAGCAGTGTAAAATAAAATGGACAAGAATAAGTAGAGCAGGCAGACTCATCTCTACTACAGCAGCACGAGCATTAGTCATGGACTAGACATTGCTACGCTCAACCCTAAATTAGGGATTCACAACCCGACCCACACGACCCACCGCAGAGACTTTAAAGAGAGTACGATATACTCTCTTCACTTGATCCCAGCTGTTACAGTTTACAGGTACATATTCTTTATCACACCCAAATGAAAAACGAAGCTGTTTTTATACTTTAATGTTCACTCTTAACGTCAGATTTGTGTATACGTAAATGGATAATCGTCATCATCAGCCTATAATGAAATAATTGTTGGAGCACAGGCCTTATATCAAATCCTCTATACGGAGGACGGATCATAATTTACCACTCAGACCTAGTGCGGTTTGGTGTGGTAACGATTAACAACTAAGTAGATGCTCACCGGCACATATATTTATTTATTATTACAGTATAAGAGAGAAAAGGTGTTCCAGCGCCTGACCCCCGCACCGGGTATTGAGAGATTAGTACCATTAGTACTCAACATATTGCAAAATCAAGCTTTCGAAAGTTCTTGCACATGTTTGTTACGAGATTTCCGTCTATTACTACTAGCATAAAATTCCAGTAATTAACGTCCAATCATGTTTTGAATAGTAGTTTGAATAAACATTTGAATAACATAGTTTGAATAAACAAACATTGGTTGATGAAATGGATTGAATCAGGTAAATTGTTTCGATGTTCCCACTATATCCGAGGTCAACGCTATATCTGTTCTTTGTCAATATGCATTTGTCTGTGTAACTGTTACTTAAAGAATAGGGTGCATGTATTGTCCCGGTGTTAACTAAAAGAAGATTTAATAATTAAGGTTCCTATACACACTGTCCGAACCTTATCCGTCAAGGACTTGGGTTGCGATCAGTATGTTTTTACTCGTAAACGCATACGACGTTTCGTACTCTTCATTTGGTACATTAGTGTCAATTGGCTCAATATTTCGTGGTTATTGAATGAATTAATAGATATTGAGTGTTCCGTAACGAAACAGGTGATTGATAATTAACTATAAAAGACAACACAACTGTGGGTAAATTTTTTATTGTCTATGGGCAAGGCGATTAGCTGTCTTCGTTCCAAATCCCCACCCTTAATCCTGGGGTGACAGTTTTTACTGTGAATTCAAACTGCTAACGGCGCACACCTCATTTTGATTGATCTTGGTGAATTGTTCGTTATCGAAAATAAGAACATTTCGGAAGAACGGTGGATCAGTGCCTATGGACTATATACCGTGTATGATATCTTCGCTGGTAACTGCGTTGACGCACCCCGTTCCTGAACCTAGCCCTCGGTACCCGTAGCGGTAAAGGATCGCTTGCGGTGAGTCGCCAACCCCTACTTAATATCGTATATTGAGGAAGTATTGAGTCTATGTTTCAAGGCTTAGGTCGTACAAGTTAAGGTTTGAATCATTGGATTTGATCGAAATTGACATTGAGATTGTGGTCAAGAGTAAGACGGCTGAAATAGTCATTTTCATGAACTTGGACACATTATTTCATTCTGAGGCGATACGAAGTTCGGCCGATTAATTTTGTTGTTGTTTTTTGAATTGAAATACCTAAAATAGGTCGCGATGATTTTTTAATAGCATAAAAATAAATTCATAAACGAAAACTCGACTACAGCCAATTCACACTTTAAAAAATTTTGAAACGTAAAAATTTATTTTTAGTGCGAGATTTGGTTGTAATTCGGTTTCAGTTTTTGAACTTATTTTTTATTTAATTAATTTTTGGGTGTATATCAAGCTAAAGCTAACAATTATATTTGAAATGTGTTAATTAAGCCCTTTAATAAAAATACCCTACACTGAATGATTAAATAATATATATTTTTTTGTTTCTTACTTCATACTCTCTCAGTTGCAAAAACGTCCATCATGGATTAATGACGTCTTTGAGCTCTAATTGATGTCAAATCTGTATAGGTAATGTCGCTTAACACAAATGACAATTTTAATGGACGTTTGTGCAATTGGCTGATAGCCAATAGCGCGCGGACAACTAAGGCGCTCCTCTTGAATAGATATCCTTATCTTATCAAATACGATAAAATATACCTATTGGATCTTATAAAAATCTAACACCAGAAACAAATAATCTAATGATTTCTAATATACCGATAAATAAAGTAATATTTCATTGTGTTTGTGTTCACTATTAGTGGTATAACACGATTTTATATTTATTCTTTAGTCCAAAAACTATCATGAGCGGGGCATCTGCAAGTTATCCGTTAGAAATAAAAGACGTGGATTCAGAAGAAAAAAGCGAAGTGTTCAAATATTTCTCCAAATGTAAGAACTTGTATTTCTTCGTTATGTATTTGCGATGTAACAAGGTGTTTCTAGAATCAATCCACAAATATATATTTTTTTTATTACTGTAAACAATAGATACATTTTAGGACTCCGTGCCCGAAGGGTAAAAAACGGAGCCTTCTTACTGAACCTCCGCTGTACATCAGTCTATCTGTTTGTGTGTCCGTCGGTCACCAGGCTTTCATGACCGTGAAATGGTATATTTATCAACAAATCCTAAAAAATATAATGAAATACATAATTATGAGAGTTCCCATATAACAAATGTAATTGTAGAAACTTTATTGGCCATTGTATTATTATTTTTTTTGTAATAATCTATTGGTAGGATTATGTGCTGTATGTTTCTCATAGCGTCATAATAAATAAATAAAGTAATTATTTTACTCGTTAGCGGTACGCCACGCAGCCGAGTCTGATTTCGTCAACTAACATTTTTTTTTGTACCGAGGGGAACTGACCTTAACATGCCATCGACCTTGATTAGAGGCTGACTGTACCCGGCTCTCCTGCTGCGGGCTCTCCTGCTGCGGAGGTTAAAGAACCCCTATCTAAAGCAGGCCTACCGTGCAAAACCCCCCGTATTACCCTCACAAAGGTCTGGGACCTGGTATCTGCCAACGGAACTCCCAGGTTACCCAGACCATAACTTCCTTACATCTGAGATAAAGATGAAAAAAGATGTCTTTAAATATGTGGTTACTTGTGTTCATTGTGTTGAACATGGATGAAACAACGTATTGAACACAGAATCTGTAAAGGGTTCGAAGCGCCAATAAAATAAAAAAATTAACGCGGTGAATTCGTTTAAAATTTGTCTCATTTATGGATAGTGCGCGTGAAATAAATCTTCCTGCGGGTTTTTGAGATGTTTAACACTTTCTGCCTTGTCAACAGTTCTATCTTAGATCTCATTATCATTCAAGTAACATGACATTGACATTCTATTATTTGATTTATCACTATAGCCAGTTCGTTATAGTGATCAAATAACTAAGAGCTATAGTTAAAGGGATTCTAGAATCCATTCAAAGAGGTATCATTAAGTATTTCATTCACAGTATAGTTTACGAAGCAAATAAAAATGTTTGAAAGAATTTTTTTCCCAAAAAAACAATAAGTGAGTAAAATGAAAATGTCTCGCTTTGTAGTTTTCTCTTCGGTCGTTATACCCTTTACTTTAGCACTAACTTTAGTTCTCGTTTTATAATATTTTATACTTATAAAGATCTTCGAATATTCTTTCTTCATGAGTTTCCTGGAAGAGAATACGTAAGAACGTAGCAATAAAATCCCCTTTTGTTCATTCTCACTTCTCTCTTCTTGGTAATATTACGTAGTGTTCAATAAAGATTATTATAAATATTTTATTGTAATTATTTCATACAATATTTTTCAGCTCCCCAAGATGGGTTCGTACGTATCGGCCCAAAGGGTTATTTTTACCCAAATGGGATGAAGGAAATTGCGCCAAAAATCTACAATATGGCGGTTAGACCAGATGACATTTGGGTGTTATCATTTCCAAAATCAGGTATGCTGATCAGCTTGTTAATTTCATATAACTTTTAGGTGGTAATCAATTATCATCATCAATCAAAACCTTAATGTTACCATAATCTGTAATAAGGTTAACTAAGTCCTAAAGCCTTTTCGCTTTCATCTATAGATGAGGGATTAATTTTATGATAAAAGCAGCTTTCCACCAGCTGCCCACGTGCTCCTGTATCTATATCTATATACCTATTTTCATACTTATAAGTCCAGAAATGAGAAAAATCCATATAAGTTTCAATAACTATTTCACACCCTTAGAGGTTTAATCTTTAAAAATAATTTCTTAGTGCTCAATTGTGCAATTTAAAGTTTCCAGGTACAGTAGCTTTGCATTAATTTAAAAGGCAAACCTGATAAAGTATCTTCATCGTAATCTTGACTGATAGCAAACTTAACTGGACTTGTATACCTCCAGTCGTTTATAACAGTATACCGATTCTATTCACAGACAAAGTAAAAAATCTTAGTTTGACTATGGATTGTACTTTTTCATGGTCCCCACAAATGGCTGAGGATGCAAACGGATGCACTATTATTTCCACTATCTCAAACAACTTTAATACTTTCTTCCGCTTAAAACCAAGATTATGCTAGTGCAATCACTCCTGCTTCCCATTCTTGACTACGCTGATATCTGCTACTTGGATGTAAATGAAGATCAACTAAAAAATCTAGAGCACTTTCAAAACCTCGCAATTTGGTTAATTTCTAGACTGCGTAAATACGATCATGCCCCAGCTTTTCGAGCTTAACTTAACTGGCTTCCTATCCGTCGTCGTCGTGATATGCACATCCTTTCATTCCGTTTCAAAATTCTTAAAGATCCCAATTCACCCGCATACCTAAACCCCCGTTTTCTGAAGCTTCCTCCCCCATCCCGTCCTAGGCGGTTCTGTGTTACCAAAACTTTGGAGCTGCCTAAAAGTAACACCAACTTTCTCTTCAATTCTTTTTCGCTACGGGCTGTTAGACTATGGAACAAACTTCAATATTCCAGACTCTATCGTATCTTTCATAACTAAACTCAAGGAGCACTTTCTACCACAATGTTTTTTAATTTTCTTAAATATTTTGTTAATTATTAATTAATTATTTTTTAATTTTGTGGTCATTGTTTTTTTTACTTACGTATATTATATTTATTTTTATATTATATGATATTGTTTATTTATTTTTTATATCATGCCTATATCTATTAATTCACATTAAATTTTACAATTATGCACCTGTTAGACTTCCGATATTGCTTGATCTCCCACACCGCCTGGTTGGCTGGAAGAGATATATTATAGAGATAAACCCACCCTTGCTTGTAATTTACCTAATATTGTTATGTTAATTTTGATGTATTTTGTGCAATTTATTCACTGCTGGAACAAAGGCCTTCTCTATATTCCCTACAGCTATGCCTTATTTTAAATAACACTTGTATAATAAATATATTTCACCCATAATGCAGGAATTTGCCCCAGCAGAGGACACATTGACAGAATGGTAATACCGATGATACATTTATTCTTTGATTGCAAGCTTGATCGCGTCGGATGTGTGTACAAATATGGCGGACGAAGACAGGAATTAGGAATTAATCAAATATTTCATCCGCGATATATACATTAATATTATAGAGGGAAACGATTTAATCGTTTGTATGTTTGTTTACATTTAATGGGCTCCGAAGCTACTGACCTGTTTTTAAGATCCATTCACCTACGGGTAGCTATATCTAAGCTATATAGTGACAGCTATAATTTACTTGGGCTAAACAGCTAGTTAATATAAAATATAACACTATATTTTTCAAGTGTGACATGTGTCCCGAAAATAATAATCTTTTTAATATTCCGCAGGTACAACATGGATGCAAGAGTTGGTGTGGTTAGTAGCAAACGACTTCGATTATGCTACAGCAGAAGCCGTTCCACTCGTGGCAAGATTTCCATTTGTAGAGTAAGTGAATTGACGTATGAAGTTTTCAATATTTTTTTTATAAAATTCAGATGATGTATGAAAAATTTAAAATGTCCACAGAGTATCGATGTTTATAGGAAGTGAGAAATCCAAATCTACACATGATTTTCAAAGAAAAGAGGAAGAAATGGAGCTAGTTTTAAATTCAGCTGATTATGTAGCAAAGGTGAATTCACCTCGCTTCATCAAGTCACACCTGCCGCTGTCGTTGCTGCCGCCCACGCTCCTCGACACGTGCAAGGTGGTGCATGTAGCACGCGATCCTAGAGATGTCGCCGTGTCTTTATATCACCACGACAATCTATTCAAGTATATGGGTTATACCGGTGACTTAAAGCAGCACTGGAATCTGTTAATTAAGGATTTGAGTAAGTACGTTATGAATTAATGTATGAAATTTTTTTAAGGTCAGTTGTTTAGCCCATTTTTACATTAAAGAGTAAAAATCTTCTATAATATCAACAAAACATTCATAGAAAAAATAGGTATAAAAATAATTCAGTTATTGAATGCCGACGATACCTTTATCTTTCCGTTAGCTTAAGTGCAAACCAAGAAGTTTAAATACAGTCTTTCATTATGGACCTCAGAACTTGAACAGTTAGCTAGAACTTAAAAGAACTTACTGAACATTAAGCAATAAAAACAAAAACTCATAAAAACATTAGAACCTACTACACCTACCTACTACAGACTTTAAATATTGTAAAATAATACTTTGAGATAAGTATTATTTAAAAAAATTTAACCGACTTCAAACTTTAAAAATAAAAAAATAATAAAAACTTTTAAAATAAATAAAACTTATCTCAACAGCGACTTATTCATGAAAATGCTATTGAATTCAGGCGGAAGTTTCTGTAGGTTATTAGTTAAAAATAGGCGCCCGACTACAATAGCATTTTCTTGAATAAGTCGCTGTTGGGAATAGATTTATTTATTTTATTTATTATTTTTCCTTTTTAGTGATGTCGATATTTTTTAAACATTAGATAAGCCTAAATAATATTAAATATCTGGTGAAAAGTGAATCTTGTTTTGTTATAAAAAGGAAAACTACCGATTTTATTTCGATAAAATTTAAATGAGACCACCTCGGTCCAATAAGCTGTAGAACAAAAATTGAAAATCGATCAACAATTGGCAAAAATATAGGTGAATATACATAAATAAAAACATATAACCTCCTTCTTTTGGATTTTGAAGTCTGTTAAAAATAAGATACTTAAATCAATAACAGCCAATAACCGATAAATGAAAATCACCTCGGTACAGAAATCACCCATATTCTACATGCAGGCCGTGTGTTGACAGAGCCCAATAACTAATGTAAAATAAGCATCAAAGTCAATATAATTCATGTCCTCATTCAAATCAATTCAATTTACGTACATTTGTTTTATGTTATATTACACACAAATTAATAGACGATATCTCATTTTGGTTTATTTAAGCTTCATAATACAAACGAACTAAAGTATCGCTCATGTGATTTAATCTTGTCGTTGGTATTATTGTTTCAGTTTACTTTACTCCTTTATTCGAAAACGTGAAAGAATCATGGGAAAAGAGAAATCATAAAAATATGTTATTTTTATTTTACGAGGACGCCTTGAAGGTACGTAGAAAGATTGATCAAGTGGTGATGATAGTCACAGAGTACTACTTGAGAATTGAAACAAGAAAGTATGATCCTGCTTTTTGTCATCCTATGAAGTTCCGTGTAATTTAATTTTTAATACTCGTATATTAGCTGTTAGCATTTTTGCGACTCAGCAATCATGAGCCCATCAATTCTTTGATTCAAAGAAACGATTCTTCGTTTCTTGCTTTACGTTTTTTGTTATAAAACAATCTTCACATGTGGCATAAAATCAATCGATTGTGGAACAGCCATTTTATTGCATGGTTGGACAACGATATACAAACTACACGACCTGTTTTATAGTTTAATAATTTTTATCTCTCATTTAAAGTTTAATCATTATTATGCCATTTAAACAATCATGTTAGTCAAAAGATGTCTTATATGAGTCAGTATGTAATTCTCCTTGCAGTTTTATTTTCGTTTCATGACGATATCAATAATTTGAAATAGCGATATCAGAGTCTTGAAGGTTTTAGTTTGAATTAAACTGACTTTTAATGGGTTTGAAACATCATTTAGGTATTTCGAGAAAGTTGCACTAGTAACTTCGTTCCGTTGATTTAATGATTTACGATTTTTTACTGAAGGTTACATATCTATTAATAATAACTTTATTTATGTATTTTGTTCTTTTTAAGGATCTTCCGTCAACGGTAAAGAAAGTAGCGAATTTCTTAGGGAAAACAGTTACAGAGGAGCAGATGAGCCGACTCTGTGAACATCTCTCCTTCGACAGCTTTAAGAAAAATAAATCTGTTAATATGGATGCATGGAGTGACATTATGGATGTTACTAACAAAGAAACTTCTTCTTTTATAAGAAAAGGTGAGATCTATACATCTACATGTTTTTTATAACGTAAATGTTATTAATATAGGCATTTTTGATCTTCGCATAAAAATTAATATATTTTTATAAAACAGAATTCTAAAAATTGTAATAAAAAGAGAGAAATAATACCACATTTTTTATCTTAAAATAAAATCTAACCACAAAAACTAATATTTTTGAGGTCATATATATGTATATATAAAACACAGACCATACAGACGAACATATATGAATATTTCGCAATTCCAACGAAATTACATACATACACTTCGAATTGATAACCTCCTTTTTTGAAATAAATTAAAAACACCCTCAACACTTGATATCGAGTTAGTTGATCCGTTTAAAGTTTACATTTTTATATATTAGAACTTTGAGATTACTAAAGCATGAAACGGTTCGGTTAGTATTTTGCGTATCTAATAAAGTTTTCAAGCATTGAATCTTTTCACTATCATGCTGTAATAATTTTATAGGCAAAGCTGGCGGATGGCGTGAGAACTTCGACGAGGAGATGAAGCAACAGATGAAAGAGTGGATGAACGACAACATGCGTGACACCGATCTGAAATATCCGACTGTGTAAATTTTGTAATTAAATTGTATTTATGCCAGTCCATTTAAGACCAGAATATTTAATGTTACATTTATCTAGCAAGCAAAATACGGTAATCTATCTTATTGCTCTGTGAAATTTTCCGACAGTCTTTTGTCAACACTCAGCCATTCAATTCATGTCTATACACCTTAGAATAATAATTAAAGTGTAGTAACCACGCTAAAGTAGTAAGCGATGGCATGTATAGGACATTTTTTTCTTACGGCCCTTGTTAATGCGTCGGTTATGTCTCAATTAATGTAGGTTGTCATAAGTTTTTGCAAACCCATACATAGATTGACTTTTATCTTAATGTTCCTTTTATCAATAAAAACAAGTTTATATAAATAATTTACGGTGGTATGGATTTGAAAATGTTATTTTTATAAAATAAATTATATGTTTATTATTGATAAAAAAAATATGAAATTATTATCAAAATTGTCAATATACAAATTCCTAGAAAAAATGGAAAGCTGCAATAAAATTTTGTTTGATTTGATTGTCTAAAACTCTTTATTCTTATTTAATTGTATATGGTCTATTAAAAAAGAAACAAGGGTGGTCACGAAAACATATAACAGGTAAATGATAATTAAAACACATTAGATTTAATTAAATCATATGTATTGTCTATCACATAAAGATATTAAAATATGTACCCATATAAAAAGCATTTTTACCTGGTGGTTTTATAAAAGTACTGCGAAAAACGTATCCTTTTAATGATTAAAGCATTTACATCTGAATTAATGCAAACATTCGAATCAATTAAAGATTCATTTGGATTATCGATTCTCAGATAGATTTTAGAGCTGAATCATGACTGCGTTTAGAATTAGATCATATCAAATTTTCTGTAATCATTGTTGTTTCAAGACTTCAGTTTTCGGAAATCTATAAAAATCATTATCAATAGTGTAATCTTTTAATCCGTTAAATGGTAATTGTCGTTATTTTTAAACTAAAATATTAGCTTTCATTTTTTTACACTCACAAGCACAATTATATGAAAGGAATGTTAAAAACTATACTTAAAGAAAAAGAAACAAACAAAAATATTGGAAAAGAAGTCTTTTATTAAAGGATGCTTACCAAAAATCGTTTTCTTAAATCCCTTGTCCCTATTATTATGGTAGTAGAATATAATAACATTGTGTTATCGGTATTGAAATGTATATCACTATACGATAAAACATAATCTCTACGATGTAAACAAAACTGATAAATAATGTAAAAACCACCAGATAATTCGACATGAAGACATTTATTCAATAAAGTCAAAAACAATGGAAGATTATTGTTTCTTGAGTACATTATTTTCTTCCTATGTGAGTCTTGCAGACCACGATTACATAATATATTTTATCACAGACGTCCTTTAACTGATTTGAGAAAAGTACAAAATATCGAATGATTATTCACAATAACTTTAGATTTTTCATTTTCACAAGTCTAAAAAGACCTAGTTTATCAAACTGCTATCAACTGATTGTTAAAATAACTAAAATCGTAAACGAAAACCGGTTTTAGTGACGTTTAAACTGTACTTAAGTGCAGTTTGAGACGTGCTTAACATCAAATTCTCAATTCAGAAACCGAGTGAATTTCTTTAGTTTTACTGTTACAAACACTCCTTTGAGTTTTCTTTGAATAATACTTTATTAATTGTAATTTTTCTCAGAGACATATCAATTACCGTGCAAATAATAATGTCACTATGGTGCCACCAAGTGAAGTAGTTATTTATACGTATTTAAACAAGACTATGAAAATATAACGACTTTTTAATCTAGTCGTGTAAAAGCTGTAAATACATCCAAATTTACAGCCAGTTTGACAATGAACTCGTGACAACCTTAATAAATAAGAAACAAATCTGGATTCGTTATCCTATTTACTCTTATAGGCAAATTTGTTCCTGAACGCAACACAAGCGACAGCGGGGGTAGAAGACGGAAGATAACAATCAATAATCATCTAACAACCAATATGCAACCAACGGACGCAATATATTTTTCTATCATATATTTTTTTTATAACAAACTTGTACCTCTTGCATCTTAAATTTTATTCCACGTCTTCATCTGCAAAATCTATTACAAGTATAACAACAAATAACAAAGACATTAAAGGACGGCAAACAAAAAATGGTGACCCCGATGGTGAGCTACAATTTGTAAATCCGAAAGAAGTAAGCCCATTTCTAGCACTACCTTCATTCCTCACATAGTAGCGTATTCACTGTTTTTAAATAATGGAGCAAATCGTAGTAAATTCAGTCTATTAATAATAATAAAATTTTCCAACACTTATACGTTAATTAAAATTTAGTTCAAATATTGGTATAATTTTCCCTTACATTTGATAATTTTATAGTCACTTAAAGATAATTTGCCGACAATTTCAACGCTTTTCTGGGAGTAAATCGATGAAAAAGTGGAAACAAATAGTGACACACGATTGCACATTGTTGCAGTTTTGTGTCGCATATCGAGACACTGATAGTGAGCGGTCGCCGGCCGGCGCGGGCGACCCAACCGGTTTGCTATCAGCGAGCGAGGTAGGATCTGCATCTATTGCTTTGACCGTTTATTATTACGCATATTGAAATTCATTGATTGCGTATATAGAAATGACAGACTTAAAGGAACTTGTCAAAGTAAGAGGACAGATTAAGTCGCGTACTATCTTATCAATATCAGGAAATTCCAAAGTAAAATAGATTTATTGAATGATGACAGTGGTAAGCAAATATAGGAAAGAGAGGACATTGAAAATAGGTTTTTTAGTTTAATGGCTACTGCTCAGGAATTAAATGAGATTTTTAACGAAAATAGAGAGAAAAATATTGAGATGCTTTCTCGGAGCGGTTGTAATGCAATTAATTTAAAACTACCTACTATAAAATTGATCTATTAACAGTATAAGTAAATTTCAATATTAACTTATATTGATTTTGACTTGTGTAATGTTTTCGCCAGTATTTAACATTATAATTTAATTATTTATTCAGTTTTAAATAAGTAAACTTTGATAGCAATAGTGAATATGCATCATCTATACTATAATATAAACGTAACCGATCGATGTCTGTACATTGAAGATATATGAAAAAAACTGTTATGAGGGACATTTATAAGCGTAATAGAACACAAAACAATTTTATATTTAAATTTTTTGTCTGTTTGTCTGTTTGTCTGTTTGTCGGTTTGTCTGTTTGTCTGTGCGTTTGTGCACGATAATCTCAGAAACGGCTGAATCGATTTAAATGCAGTTTTCACTATTATATTGTGGTATTCTTCCGTTAACATTTAGTGTAAGATTTATTTCAATCGGTTCACAAATAAAAAAGTTAAGAATAAGAATAAGAATAAGAATAAGAATAATTTATTTGCAAGAATATGGTATAAAGTAAGATCTTAGTTTTATTACAAGCACGGAACACATTCACCCCGTTTGGGCATGCAAATTATAAAATTGTCAGTAGCCTATAGTAACTAAATTGAATTTACAATAAGAATCTCATAATCAAATTAAAGAAGAAAAAAAAAATAAACAATTAATTACCAAAATTATGAATATCCATAACCATATTAGCTAACGTCTTAAATATACATTTTATGCACACGTCATCACAACTAAAATTGTCATTGTCACATCTAGAGAATACAAATATATAATTATATGTCAAGTTTTATAGTCAAAAAACTCACTTAAGCTATAGAAACAGTTCTCGATTAACCATTTTTTAAGTTTTTGTTTAAATTGGTTAGTTTTGACCATTTTAATATCATTTGGCACTTTATTATACACTCTTACAGCCATCGAATGACTATTTCTGGAGCCCAGGGCTGTCCGCATTGCTGGGAGTATGAGTTTATCAGGACGTCTACAACTGTATGGCCGAGGTACATCATACAAACGGGGAAACAGTTCTGGGTGACTCCTGACAAAGACACATATTTCAAATATATATAAACATGTTACAGTCAAAACATTAAGCGCCTTAAATAAAGGCCTACATGAGATCAAAACGTCTACATCAAATATGGCACGGATGCATGCCTTTTGAGCAATGAAGACTCTACTTGTGTGGCACGAGTTACCCCATAAAACTATGCCATATCTCAAAATTGAGCAAACCTGTCCATGGTAGGCCTGAAGGGCGATTTGTTTGCTTGTGGTTTTCCCCAATTTCCATAGCGCAAATACATGTGAATTAATTCTTTTGCATAATTTATCTATGTGTTTCTCCCATGTGCACTTATTATCGAGTGTTATCCCAAGAAACGTGACTTCATCAGTCTCCTTAATATGCTGACCATCGTACAATATTTCCATGTTTTTTTTCTTTCCATTCTTATTAATAAATTGAATTGCTTTCGTTTTTTCAACATTGACAGCTAGGTTATTATGTTGTAGCCAATTTATAATAAGTTCCACCGTTGTGTTTAGTTCTTGGTTATATACATCTAACTGAAGACATGGAACAACCACCGACACATCATCGGCAAACAAAACACATGAATAATTTGTAATGTCTGGGAGGTCATTGATGTAGATTAAAAAAAGTAATGGTCCCAGAATACTTCCCTGAGGCACACCGGAACCATTTATTTTAACATCTGACTGAAAGGTTCTTAACGTTCTATATTTTTGTCAATTTGAAGTAACGTGGTCGCCAAAATTGCTATGAAATATTAACTGTTTTATTAAATTTTCGTCTTTGATATATTGATCATCATCATTAACTCTTTGACAGTCAAACTGCAGGGCCTCAGGCCTTTGTTTAATAATTTTTGGTCACCCATCCCGTGAACAACTCTTGCGAAAATTGCTTAGCAATATCGATCATGCGCAGTGGCGCTTATCCGTAGGCCACCCCACCCAGCTACGAATTAATAATGTCTATAAAATGATAATTTGTATGATGAAAAATAAAAATAAAAAATACAAAATTTTGACAACTCCAAAGTAAGTTGACCTCATTTATAAATGGCCAATGATATTAAATAGGGTTCGGGTTATAATGGACGTGTGGTATACGATCACGCGAGTAGGAGAACAAGCGAAAAGAGCCTTCCGATGATGCAATTAAGCATCGAGTAATTTACAGTGAACGCATATTTTTATCAGATTAGGTTCACGTCGTCGTCGGAGCTAGCGGAGGTGGATGGCAGCCCCCGCATTGCACGGTTTTGTCTCTCTGAGAGAGGCACTCGATTTACCCGAGCCTATCCACTATTCCATCTGCAAGGGGACCAATGTCAAGTCCAATACTTGAGTGTTCTGATGACGCGGCCATAGCTTGCCGGGTTTCATCTTCCATGAGACGGTGTCATCATCATCATCATCAGCCCTTTTACGTCCCCACTTCAGGGCCTCAGGCCTTCCTTATGGATGGTTAAGGAGGATGGGCCATGACCCTCCACGCTGGCCCAATGCAGATTGGAGGGAATTAACGACTGAAAATGCAGCCGGGACCAACGGCTTAACGTGCCTTCCGAAGCACGGAGAAGCTCGAGATAATAATTTTTTGGTCACCCATCCCGTGACCGGCCCTTGCGAAAGTTGCTTAACGACAACGATCGCGGGCCACGGCGCTTACCCTCTACGCCACCGAGGGCAGTTCACTATCGGGTTCACGGAGGAGAATCCTACTAACCCCCTGTTGCTTGCCACGTAGCAGAGACAATGTCAGAAGCTTTTCCACGACGTTAAAAAAGTTAGATTCACGTCAACTGAAGTTAAGAAGGTAAAGAGAACTCGATTGATATATATATTTTTTGTCTTATCACAATTTTATATGAAATAATAATATTACTTTTGTTTATTTTTTTAACATACAAATATGCTGTAGATACGTACTTCGAAGTTAGTATTTTCAGTCTTCGCCGGAAACAATGGTTTATTCATATGTCACAACACATATAATATTACGCGAGTCTGAGGATCGGTTTAGAGTAGCTTGGTGGTGTAGTGAATAAACGCCATGGCTCGCGATTGTAGTTGTTAAGCAACTTTCACAAAGTCGGTCACAGGAAGGGTGACAAAAAATATTATCTCAAGCAACTCCAAGCTTTGTAAGGCACGTAAAGCGATTGGTCCTGGTTGTATTTGCATTCGTTGATATCCTCCAATTCGCATTGGGCCATCATGGAAGGTCATGGCCCATCCTCCTTAATCCAAAAGGCTCCTGCAGTTGGTGACGTAAAAGGGCTGATGATGATGAGGGCCGTTCAAATCTGACGGAAGCTCAGTTACGCACCTCTCGGAAGTACGTGTTAGTAGACGATTTCCTTCGAGTGTGGAAAGTCGAAATTAAATTATGTATATATTTTTTTATATCATTAATAAATAAAACTCCACGTATCTTCCGTCAGACATGTACCGACCGACTTTTATTGACAAAGAAAGAGATTGGACGGAATGCGTTCGGTCTAGAGAAACACCTGAATAACGCGAGGCGTATTTAACTACCCATCGCGAGGCTCATGCACTATAAAGTTGAATCTGAAGCATTTACCGTCAGGGACATTCTCTTGAGCTCTCGGAGAACTCATACAACAAGCGTATGATCTCAGGAAACTTCTGAAGATCGAATAGCGCGTCTAACTGCTAAACGTAACATACTTGATTATGGTATGAGTATGAAACTTCCTTTGATAGAGAAATGCGCTTGGTCTCTGAAAGAGCTCGCAGTTTGTGGAATAGAGATCGAGAAAGTAGTTTCGATTATCGCCAACCCGTGTTGCCTTCATACTCCACAGGCGTACCGCAGATAAGTTTTCACAAGGTATAATGAACTAGCTGTTTTCCCGCAACTTTGCCGCAAAATTATAGCCTATGACATCCGTGATGTAGCTTCCCGTAGGTAGAATCTCTCTGAATTTATCGGTCCAGTAGTTTTGGGGCAAATTCGATGCAAACAAATAAATAACCAAATCTTTTCCCTTTATAATATAAGTATATCTTAGGTATAAGAGATCCGATGGCGTAGTGGGTTAGCGCATTCGATTTTAATTGCAGTAAAATAAAAAAGGACATACTTGAATACTTATTTAACATAACTAAGTACAAACGACAAACTCATCGCTAGCAAGCGATTTCTTCCAGGCAACCTAGCATTACATGGAAAATAGAACAATAAATAGCTGATTGTGCATTCAACTAGATAAATAATAATAATTTTAAAATATCAAAAACAAAAGAAGGACAGTTTCAAGGTACGAATAAAATTCTCAGACACAGGCGACAATCAGAGCGCGAGAAACGAGAAAAAAGATAGAAAAATTACATTCGTAAGGACAGGATGGGTGACCAAAACATTATTATCTTGAGCACTATGCACAGCACTGGCACAATGCACGTTAAGCTGTTAGTCCTGGCTGCATCAGCGACGTGAACACCCACCGATCCGCATTAAGCACAGTGGGTTATGGCCCATTGATCTTATTCGATTCGACTCCATTCATAGGAATAAAAGAATTCTACCAAAATACTTCCCACGCAGACGAAGTTGCGGGCACACCTAGTAGTTAATATATGGCAGTGACATCTCAGTGTAACAATACATATGTGTTGAATAATAATCGCAATAAGCCACAGCAAACTGTCAACGAACTGGAAGATTATTGAATCAGCTGTTCAAAACAAATAACAATAAAATTATTTTGAGTTCTACTTCTGAAACCTGGAGAGTATTGTTTTACACATAATAATTATTACGGTTATTCTTTTAGTTTTGTTACAATTGAATTCCATATTATAATTTTTTCTTGGCGCCTATCATATATTGTTAAGATTTAAAGTCTTTTGCAAATCTTAATTACAATTGTGTATTCTGCAATTAATCGTTCTTTGTAATACATTTAACTTGATACTTCCTAATGAGTGTTTTAACGTATGACATTCTGGTTTCTTAATAACTTAATTTTCAAACTTATCATAACTCTTATCAGAACTCATGAGTAGTGAGTAACATCACAAAACATAACAATTTGGTCCTGTTAACCTCTCTTTACTTGACATAAAGTGTAAGTAAAGTTGATGGTGACCGAGTTGTCACAGACATTCATTATTCCTGCTCTTTACAAACAATATACTTGCACAATTAAACATTCACATTAATCACAGCTGAGAAACTCATTAATTGTTTGTGATTAGAATTACTTATTCCAGTATATCATTATTGCATTCACTTTTTATAAGAATTAATTGTAAAAGAAATTATTATTATTCAGGATTCATACTAAAAAATGTACTAAGATTATAAGTTACATCTTTTTCGTGCTTGTGTACAGACAAGACACTGCTGTAAATGATAATATTGTAATAATAAGTATATGTTACATTGTATAAGAAAAACAATTATAAGTCATTGTATGAGAGGGGTACAATTGCATATTAAGTTCATCATTATAATTAATTGGTGATTGTATATTAAAGTGACACTTTTTATGAAACTTATTAACTATCCAATTAATGAATTGATCCTGTTTTGTTTTCTAGCAAAGGAAAACATAATATTCCCAACCAAAAATGATGACCCGCAAAGCTACAACACAAAGCACCGAATTCAAATTAAGGCAAACGTTAGAAAAACTAAAGTGGTCCAAAGAAACTTGTGATCAGTTGCTCCGAGAACGTGAGGAGAGTGAAGAATAAATAAAGAAAATTATTGTCAAAAATTCACAATTGAAGAGCTGTCTCTCGTTGAAATGCACCCTCAACTTGTCAAAGTGCTTTGTCAACGGGAACAACTATATAACACCCTCAGTAGTTGCAGTAAGGAATTTTACACATATGAGAGGGCTCTGCGACGCAAAGATGACCTAGAACGAGAACTTCTGGTAGCAAACTGTCAAATCAATCAATATGCTGAAAATCAACAACTGCAGGAGGATCTACATACTCAAAGCCTCTTCGAGGAGCTCATGGCATCACCTGGAACACCCTTGACCCCACAATGTTTAATTTCTACCAATACAACATTATAAAAGTATAAAAAAAAAACAAATATGTACGAATTAGTAAATTTCTAAAAAAAAACAGAAATAAATAATTAAAAGAGACCAAGACTATCATAGAAACATAACTTTTGGAGAAGAAAAAATAGTTTAATAGGCTCAATAGAAATTTACAGTTCTAAATTGAGTGAGAGTACGCAAATGTATGACCGGGATACTAAACAGTTACATTACAAATTCAGAACTTGCATGCTTCTTTTGAAAATATGGAAAACAATACTTAAGTGTACAAAAACAAATAAGTATCATATAATATCAGCTACTGAGTTAGTCGATCTTTGCAATTATAATGCTGAAAGATATGACTGTTAAAAATCAATCTATTGGTTCTAGAAATGAGCCTTCTATATCTGCAATATCTAGTAGTACACACAGTGTAATTGAACGAGATCTCGGTCATTCATCTGCCATTTCACAATTAATAAGTACAACTTATAATACGAATCCTTTCAGATCAGTGGTGACAAATAATTTAAATAACAGTAAAACAATAATATTTTCTGACAGATCGGGACAGGGAATAAAAAAAATAACAATTAAATGTAAGCATGACTAAATAACGAATTAATAAAAATAATTTATAAACATATGTACTCCAGAACAATCTCTAAATAAAATTGTTAATAAAATTAAACGGCCTGGGTTTCAAGAGTCCGTTTAATTAAGTTTATTGAGCTACATAAGATTTGGAAAAGTTCCTTCATCTATACTACGGCTATATATCAGCCAAGTAAGGTATTAAGGCCACATTTAGGCCACTTAGGCTACTTCATATATTTTTGTATCTACTTCAATAAAGGCTGTCAAGACAGTTAATTTATAAGCACTAAGCAAGCCTACGGTGGCTAGCCTGTAATTTCGCTTTTGGTAATAAATAAGATTATTCTGATTAATTACAACAAATATTTTATTTCAGCGTGTTTACTTAATGGAAGGGAATTTTAAGTCAGTGTCACGTAGGTTATCTGCTATCCATTGATCCGCCTGTCGTAACATCTCCTCATCGAAGTACTCCCGCCATCAGCCGGCTTTACCTATAACAGTATATACATCTCTCAAAATTTTCGAATAATTTCATACATTCAATTCAAATTTTTTTCGATGAGCTAAAATAAACTATTAATTACCTTTTCTTATAAAAGAATTTTTGCTGTTAGTCAACTCTACATTTAACTCGGTAATGGCTACCATATTAACAGATTTATTTTTCTTAAAATTGTTGAAGACCAGATGATCACACAGACGCTTGACTTGTTCTTCTGATACTGGTTTTACCAGGAATTTCGCTACCCTCTTTACGGTTGTTGCCAAGTCCTAATAAACAGTCATAAAAAGACTCCATTATACCTATATTCATAAAAAAAAAATGATATTTTTTTTCATGGTGTCTTTCGAATATTTTTTTTTTATACATATAAAAACTTTTACAAACGTCAGTAACATAAGAACCCGAATCCAACTAAAAACTTATTGAGTTTTGTACATTATTTTTTATTCATTAAAAAAATGATTTTTTTCCTGATGTTTTTCGAATATTTTTTTTTTATATAAAAACTTTTACAAACGCCAGTAACATTAGAACCCGAATCCAACTAAAAACTTATTGAGTATTGTACACAGAATTTTCAAATTTCGACAGTCAATTATTATTCCTTACCCTTAAAGAGTCTTCATAAAACAAGAACAGCATGTTGGGGTGGTCTCTCTTCTCCCATGATTCTTTTACATTTTCAAAGAAAGGTGTAAACTCAACTGAAATAGATAGAACCGGTGAATATAATTTAAATTATATTATGAATATAATATAATTTCTGTTTACTTGACAATATACACAATTATTACGTTTGATCAATTTCGAATTCACAATGCTATTCTGATAAATATTTTTAATAAAAAATGCTTAAAAATTGACCAGCTCCAGATACCCCGAAGTGGGACTCGGCCCACCTTTCGCAATCCATAGGTATATATTTTTTATATTTTTTCCTTTCTTAATGAAATATCTTAATCGAGGTTAAAATATTTTTTTATTCGGCTGTTTAGATGTGTTTGTGTTGTTGTTTGTGTGTGAAAAAGTAACAAATGCTTGTATCAATAAAACGCGGCTAATGAAGGTATGCTACTTGCCATCTGAAATGCCAAAACTTGGTATACTAGGTAACTAGGCAGGTGAGAAAAACCTGACATCAAATTAGTTAAGGGAACTCCATGAATCATTCAAACTCTAAAAAACTAGGAGCATTGCCACCAACTATAAATGAAGCGATGACTTATCACTTTGTGAAAAAATCATACAAACTTAAACCAAAATATAAAATCTTTGAAGTTATTTTATATAAACCTGGAGTATCGTAAAACCAGGAAAACTAGACGAACTGAGATGCACTTTACATTCTATGACTTATCAGGTAGATGTCATCCTGATATCAGAGACCTGGATCAAATCCGTAACAGAAGCCCAGAGATTACAACTCCCAGAATATAATCACTATTACAACTTCCTGAAGATACTCTGGGTAACGGTACAAACCTGAGAGAACTAATGACCTCAATTTTCTGGATATCTTTACACAACAACTTCTCAAACGCAAAAGAGCAATAGTCCTTGGAGAATTTAACTACAATTTACTGAAAAATAATCAACCAAAAAGAGTGTACATGTCAATGCTAAAAGAAAATGGATTCACTGTCCAAAATGAAATAGATCTCTAAATCAATTGAAGCTGAATCAATAAAATAGATCTCTATTTATTATTTAGTACTCTAGTACTGTACACGAGAAACTTTGACTTCGAAAACGACAACTAAATCACGCCTGTACGAATATTAAAAACAACACGTTCCATTTTGCTATATTGCATTTTGTGAAATCAGAAATATCCCATCACAAGCAAATTAACCTTGAAGTACATATATATAAACAAAAAAAAAAAAAATTGAGTACCTAGTTATTAATTATGGCAATTTTTTAAAAGATCTAGAAAATGAGAACATTTGCGAATGTAATGATGATTATGAGGTTCCAGAAAAAAAAAAATTAGAAATTCTCACAAGAAACAATATAAGCAAGGTAAAGATGATGAACACGCCAAACAAGGACTGGATATATAAAGACTTAATAAAATCTATTAGTAAAAGAAATAAAATCGGATATTAACACATAAAAATCCCAATGATGAAGTAATTAAAGAAAAATAAATAGAAGAAAAAAAGAAAGTCCGAAAGTCCATACAGAATGCAAAATCAAATTACCATTAAAAATTATTCAGGAATTGTGCAGATAAACCGCTAAACATGTAGAACTTTATAAATAACTTGAATAACAACAAAATTAAAAATAATTTGATACCTGGAGAACTTGTTACAACCCGGGTGAAATTACCAATACCAAGGGAATGTCTCAATATTTAAATTCATTTTTGTTAACATAGGTTCCGTTCTAGCTAATAATATCCCAGATTTGTATCATAAAAATATAAAATTACTATTAAATCAAGAATCTCTGAACTCAAAAGATGAATGTTCTCAATGTACTTTAGTATCGACCCATGAAATCAGTAAAATAATTGATAATTTAAATTCAAATACAAGTACCAGGTAAAAGTAGATGGTATCAGCTGCTCGCGGCGTGTGCGTGTGCGAGAGGCCTGGACCCAGTCCCCACACTTCACTACGAGTAAAGGGACGGACTTTGGCTGCCAGGTGGGGGTGGCCAAAAAGAGGATGAGGGAAATTGGCTGTCAGTCTGCGGCAATAGTGGTCGATAGAGCGGACGTCAGCTGTCAGATTTTGATGGATGTGGCTGAGGCGGCTGCTAGGCTGGACAAAGACTGCCAAACTCTAGATGTGATTGAGAGACGGGATGCTGGCTGTCAAGGCCAATACGAGACAGTAGAAATGGCTTGCAAACGGATGAGCTGTTTAACGTGGGAGTGGGTGCTGCTTGTCAGACGGACGGGCCACCTGAGGAAGTTCGGCTCTCTTCCGAGATGGAGACGGAGGTGGAGACGGATGTTGGAGGGATATCGACCGCGAGTGACCAGCCTGATCCTGAGTCTTCTCAGGAGATGTCATGGGCTCAAGTGGTCGGTAAAAGGAAGAGGACTAGAGGAAAAGAGAGGAAAGGGAATGAGGAAGACGGGAGGTCGAAGGTGGAAGCCCCTGTGCCAATGGCACAAAAGCCGCCACCTTCGCACAAGAAAAGAGGAAGGAGAAAAGGGAAAGAACTGACGACCACTGCGGTGATGCTCGCTATCCCTCCGGAAGCGGAGGCGAAGGGTGTTACCTATGGTGGAGTGTTGGGCAGAGCAAGGAGAGGGATAGACCTTTCGGACCTTGGGATCCAGGGAGTCGTAGTCACAACAGCTGCAAACGGGGCCAGATTATTAAAGGTCCCGGGCGCTGACAAGGAGAGGGAAGCAAATCAGTTAGCGGTTAAGCTGAAGGAGCTGTTGGGGGAGGATGTAGTAGTATCGAGACCTGTCAAACGCGCGGACTTGCGCATCACGGGTCTCGATGAGTCGATCGGCGTCAGTGACGTGAGGGCCGCAGTTTCTGCCGTGGGCGGCTGTCATTTGAACCATGTTATCATGGGTCCAATCATAGAGGGTACGGATGGCTCTAATTTGGCCTTGGCCAGATGTCCGGTTGTGGTTGCCAACCGATTGATAAAAGAGGGTAGACTGCGAATTGGGTGGTCGACAGCGAGGGTGCAGTTGTGTGAGCCTAAGCCCATGCGTTGTTTCAAATGCATGGGCGTTGGGCATGTGAGGAGGGTATGTCCCACCAGAACCGATCGATCTGGACTTTGCTTCAGGTGCGGTAAAGAGGGGCACAAGGCGGCTGGATGTCGTGGGAGAACGCACTGTTTGGTCTGTGCAGAGGCGTCTCTCCCCGCAGAACATGTGATGGGGAGCGTGAGGTGCTCTCCACCACCCAAGTGGGTGAGGCCGTGGCTGGTTCCCGTGCCTCATACTGCTCATGCGGAACCGGTTGGTGACCAACCAGTCCAGCGAAGCTGCAGTCACACGGGGGGACATCGCTGAGTTTTAGTGGGTAAACTTCTGTTTTTTGCCTAGCCCCTTCGGGGGTGGGGCCACAGAACGAGTCCCACATAACCCGATATGCGTAACGCATGTCTCAGCGTCAACAAAAAAAAAAAAAAAAAAAACCAAAGTCGGTCCAATTTTCAAATCAGGCAGTAGGACAGACTTATCCAAGTTACCAATAATTAACTAGCTACCATAAAAGTCAACTATAACTTTATATAAACTCCATTAATTTTTACATGAACTCCATTATTGTGTGGTGCTAAATTATTGTAGTTCCTGTTTCTTTCTTTTTTCTTTTTTTTTGGTATCAAGTGATTATAATTTATTATAAGAAATTTTCGATATGACTGAGTGCGTGCCTAGTTTTATTTTTTATTACCAGCAGAACATCATGGATATGTTTGTATTTCTTATGTAAGTGAATATATGTAATTCTTTTTGAGAAATAGACGTCTTAAACCTAAAAAATAAATACAATTTATTAATTTGAACTTACTCTTATTCTGAATAAATAAATTCTAGAAGTGTTTAAAATCGCTTGTGTAGCCCATGAATTGAAAAAAACAATAGTGGTGGTAGTAAGAAACGGCGACATCTCTAGGGTCGCGTGCCACGTGTATCACCTTGCAGGTATCGAGTAAGGTAGGAGGCAGCATTGACAGCGGTAGATGTGACTTGATGAACCTAGGCGACTCCATATTCACCACACTATCAAAGGTGTTGATAATTGACTCAAAAACCTGTGAACGTTTAATAAATTGTAAATAATAATAGCTATTGTAGTTTCTTAAACAAATTTATATAAGAAGGCCAATTTCTATTACATAACTCCATTGGATTGTTAGAAACGTACTTTATAACCCTGCGAATATTTATACGTTAGGAAATTTCTTAGTTTTCAATTAATCTCATTTTTACATTTAATAACGTGTGTAACTCAACAAGTTTAGATATTGTTTATATGTAACCTCTTCCTACGAGAGTCACAGCTTCAAGCCGTCAGGGCATGCTTTACACAGTATCACTTTTGCATCCCAGATATGTTCAATCGAATTACGATCGGGACTGCGAGCTGGCCAATCAAAATTAGGCTCCGTCAAATTATTTGCTATCGGCAACATAACAGGGCCGCCATCGTAAAGTGATTTCTTTTAATGACAAGGCCGCGCGTTCTTGTAATATTCGATGCACTCTTTTCAGCTTGAATACTCATCGTATAATCCTAGTACCAACGAAAAACGTAAAACTTCCTGCTAGGATACTTCAATAATATGCCCAATTAATAAAAAATCTTTCTTGAAACAAACAAAGGAACAAAACTAAATCGCTTAATCTATGAAGGGAAACCTCTCAATAAGTGGTATAGCCTCAGCTTAGCGTAGTCGAAATTGTTTGCTACCTGCCAGACTAACTCTTGAGTCCATGTTGTACCTGAAAAGTTATGCCAATTCAATACCAACATCATCATCAGCTCTTTTACGTCTCTACTGCAGTATTTTTACGTATTTTTTTTTTATTATAATTTTATTTGTTTTTTTAATTAGACAAATTAGAAGAGGTTGTTTCAGAATATTAAAGAAAAATGTCTTTTTAAACTTTCTCATTGCATTATTTTTATTAGAATTACGGTAATGATAATCAAGATATACCTTTTAAAATCATTGTATAAAGCCCTTTAATTTAATATCCATGTTGTGATATAGAAAGTATATTAAGTAAAATATCACTAAGTACAATGGCGTCACACAGCCACCATATTCGTTTTATAACGTCATCTATCTAGAACACTTGGGCTGCTAAGACGAACCTAACGATACCTAAATTATGTAACTCCATTCAGCGATTGTGAAGATATTAGGTAATAAAGAATATTACATACAAGACAAGATACGCGAGAAAAACATAAACCTTCTTTCAAAGTCGGGAAAAAATATTTTTGTTTCATTTAGGAATATCCCTTAATATTTTCACAGGTGGAAGACCCGCTAAGACGAGCCAAGCAAAGCGCAAGGGCACTATCTATCTTTTCTCGAAATGTTTCGTCGTTTATTTTGAATCCTCATAAAGTTGGTTTCCGATGTACCAGATAGTTCATATTCTCAGAATATTATGCCAATAATAGACTAATTGAACATACAAAGTCTCAATTCAATAGCCCTGTAAATTTTAGATCTTATTGATATCTAAAATACACTGATTTTGTCACTGACACACTTACTGATATACTGACATAATAGATATTTATTATCTTATCAGCCATAATCAAAATTATCTAATCTGGGTACTATATTTGTAATGCGTTATCATCAGTAATAAACAGTCTACCTCGAGATATAGTCTTTATTGTTACTAGTTATACAGTAATTTTTGACTTGACTATACTTTTTCGTTTTTTTAGAAAACGATCATGTTCTTAAAAAAAAACCTTATGATGTTTTTATAAGGAATATTACGTACATTAAAAAATGTATTATGTATATTTAAAATTATATTCCGAAAGTCATGATCCCTTCAATATCGGTACTGTAACGTCCGTGCACATTACTATAGGTAGGATACTCTCCGGAAGATTTATGGTCAATGCTGGCCGCTAATATTTTGAATTATTACTTTTTCGTAATCGAATTCGCGTGTTCTTGTTTTGCTGGTTGGTATAATTTTTCTTTCTGATCGAGACTGGCATAGAGTCAGTATCTTAGAATTTAATTGCAAGTGTTTTGATGTATGTTTTTTGCAAATAAAAACGAGAGTGAGAAGAATTGCACAAGGATTTCATTGAACAACCCACCACCACCACCATCTTTTTTCGATAATCAATCAATATGCTGAGTCATACATATGTATACGTTGACAAATTAATATACAATATGTATAATTATAGAAAATGGACAAAATTCATTAATCCAGAGCAGACTCCTCCCCACTTGAAATCGGGCCCGATACCTCAAGTTCAATGAATCAGTAAAGGTTATAAAATGCCATTCTAAATAATATATAAATCAAAATAACCGGCAAACAGACTTCCGGATGCATTACATTCTAATCCGGGTATGACGAACAGGGAACCATTAGTCTCAGACACGGAGTCTATCGCCGTCCATGCTGTCACTATTTTTTCTAAAGGCCTCATAGGCACATAGAATCCATCCTAACACATAAATAATAATAGTATCTATATATTGTTAAGAGGCCACTTTAGATTTCTTTTTTTTATGGGTTAGGGGGCAGACGGGCAGACGGATCACCTGATGGTAAGTGATTACCGTCGCCCATGGACACCTGCAACACTAGAGGGGCTACAAGCGCGCTGCCGGCCTTGAAGGAAAGGGTTGAGGGGTAGAGGGAAGGGAATAGGGAGGGGTTAGGCCTCCGGTACCCTCACTCACACGACGAAACACAACGCAAGCGTTGCTTCACGTCGGTTTTCTGTGAGGCCGTGGTATCACTCCGGTCGAGCCGGCCCATTCATGCCGAAGAGTGGTTCTCCCACGGCTTCTAACTCTCGTTTTTATTTGCAAATAAAAACGAGAGTTAGCCACTTTAGATTTTAAAAGGAATTTCTTTTCTGAGGCGTTCCTTATTTTATTGCCTTAAGATACTTATTTATTTGTATTCGTGTTATGTAACTTTAAATAATGCAACGTAATCGTACTACGGTGCTTCTTTAAGTTAATGTTATCGTAATCACGATCAACGATATCATGATTATCGTTACGATAAAAAACGAGTTTATATACAGTTGTAGTGCAGAGTAGCCATAGTTACTTTATTTCATACATTTACCTTACGGTATTTTTTTTCCTTTCGACACAAATATCATAAAGAAATTTCTTTTTGTTTAATTGGAGAGGGATTAAAACCAATATAATAGCGATGAAGCGATTGAACTTTGACTTTTAGTTATTTTGACGACTCCAACACAATATTTTATGAGACCTTTGGGATAACCTTTAGAACGTTAAAATGAATGTAATAACCTTTAGAACGTAGAAACAAATACTATAATGTAAGTTTTCTTTTCGC